GTTTTCCTGGTATGTATATTACGTATCTATACTGTAAAAATTGCTATGTGAAACTTAAAAGATATTCTTTAGTTTTTATTAATTTAATGCACTAAAGATAAAAAAAAGGTGAAATTTGTTAATTAGTATTTTATATTTAAAGATTTTCGTTGTGTTTTGTACCAGAACGAATAAATTGTATGAGATTCAAACAAATTGTGTTCAATACTAAGAAACGGAAGTAATAAAGGATAATTAATGATTTCAATATTAGGTACTTTTAATCGCAACTAATATTTACACCTCGTCTCTGACATTTCAGCGGTGTTTCATATAGAGCAATAATTTATATACAAAAATTCTGTTACGTATAACATCGGTATATAAAAATCAATAAGGAAATAACAACACAAATAATTGGCAAGTGTGAAACAAAACAAAAAAACCCTCACCGTTTCATAATCCCCTGGTACAATTGTGCGAATTTGACGTAACTCCGACCGCCTACAACAAAGCGATTTTTTTGCGAACGGCACGCGTCATCTTGTAAACAAACATTCGTCATTGTCATCATTACGCTGGTTGCACAACAAAAGTGCAAGGTACTGCATTTACTAACTTGAAGGTCGGGATACCCTCATTGAATTGGACTGTGCGAAATTTAGTGGTCCTCAATTCGGAGCGTGACCTTGTTATCTATGTGTGCGTCGATACAAGATGTGTTCGTGTAGATGTAATAAATAAATTTTAGAATCCGTTTTACGTAACCATATTTTCAAAGATAAAACCGTCAAAATGCATAGCGGTAAAAGTGTTATCGCGGTCGTTATCAGACGAACGCAGTTTATCTGCGCGTACGCATCGTGCGTGCGTATTGCATTTTGCGCGATACGCACTCGGTCTTCTCGCACGTTTCTAGTAATGTTGCATAGAAACTACTTTCGCAAACGATCATGTTTCTAGGCGGCTATACGTGATATTTGTTGGGAAATCGTATATGCGTTACGCATGTATGAAATTGTGAAGAAAATTCTTGGGAACAATTGCAAATAAGTATAATACAAATTAGATGGCATTTATTTTTATTTACGCAACTTGTGCATTTGCAATGCGACAGTATAAGAACCGAAAACATTCCTAAGCAAATTGTATGATTCATTTTAATTTTATCTGCTTATTTTCGGTTCAGTTTCGGATCAAAACTTCATGATACATTTTTCTCTTAAAATGTCTCCCCTTTTCAAAATGACACAGCCCAGCGCTTGTATATCTGAAGAATAATGTGCATTATGTCGCTAAAACTTATTTGAAACAGAAAGGATTGTGCTGCTAGAGCAAGGAATAGGGAAGCAGAAAATCTCATTTGGTAAAACCGACGACATATAAAAACTTTTCTTCAAGAAATAACAGCGTAGATGGTTTTACTTTATTAGACAATGAGATGTGAATGGCTGGAATAATTTATCCGGACTAAGCCCGGACGGATTTCTAATATTTCTACCACTCATTTAATATCTGGATCTCCAGACGAACGTGTTTCAGAAAAATTATAAATTGATTAGACACATGTCAATAATTAATATGCCTTAGACGCTGATATCAATAATTTTAAGCAAATTTAGTTTAGCAATGAGGTACGTGGTTGGCAAACGTACGAGATACACAGATAATACAATCGTTACTGGGAACCAAGGCATTGCGATACTGACGATAAGAGAATTATAACAAATCGCAATCCAGAAAAGCTGTTCCAATATTACAGCCGCCCCCCCCATTTTTTTTTTATTTTTTTTTTTTTTTCCCTTAACTTTGGCCCGGCGTTTCGGAGGCTTTGCCGTTCTTCCATAGTTAAAATAAATCGGAAATAAGTTAATAAGTGTTGACTTTTAAATAGTTTAAAATGTTTTATATAAATGTGTAATAGTCACGTAAACTAGAGACAGTACCGGGATAACTTAATTTTACTATAGATACCTAACTACTTCACAGCCGGAATACAATTTTTCTTTCAATAATTGTATATTGTTATATACATTCTAATATTCCCAACGTTAGAATTCATATATATGTATAACAATATACTCATTAATTGTAAAAAAAATAATTCTTAACACGTGCTACGAGTGTGACTATGTATTTTTAAAAATATTCAGTTACAAGTAAATATTTCATTTATATTATGCAATTGTCTTTATAGATTGTTATTAACTAAAACGAGCGAAGTCGCGGGTAAAGGCTCGCTATTTTTGAATGGTATAGGCTGCATAAGCGTAGGATCCTGGACAAAGGGATCAAGTCATATTTGGCAACATTATTACAGTCACGGACAATCTTATTTTGACATAAAAATGAGAAAAGGGTTTTATACTAAGCCCTTTGAAACGGGTCCAATAGAGTACGGACAGGGTAAAGTATTTGCTTAGTTTTTTTGCTGTTATTTGTATAATAAAACTGTCACTATATTTTATACTTAAGTGGACCTTTTTATTTTGTTTTTCCGTTTCTATCGGATAATTTTTCAACGTGAAAGACGGCTCTGATGCGGTTAGGTATCTTTAGTAAAATTTAGTTATCCCAGGATTCAAGCTTAGGATCACTGAGTAAGGAAGGTGGGTATTTTTCCTTAATTACTTATTGATGTCTTAAAAAACTTCATCTTAACATTTTTACACATTAAAATAAAGGAATAAAATAAGTATTAATTATTACAATTCTAAAATGTTTGCTAAAAGACAACTTGGCTCCACGCTAATTGATTTTATAATGTCGAATAATATTATATTTATAATTGTAACAATACCAATAATTGCTATTAAAAATACATATTTTATAAAGTTAAGTATCGTATGATACAACATTTTGTCTATTTTAAATGAAACCTAACCCTACAATATTTACCCTTGCTTACTCTCAATAAAACGAGGCTATTACAATAAAAATACAATTTTGGCCACAACCCCATGTCAACATAACCGAGGGGTGTTTGCGAATAAAACGATCGTGTAAATTCATAATGATTATTATACTTCGATATCTGATAACCACAATATGTTTTGTAAATTCGCTTTAGTAAAATATAATACAAACAATATTGTATACTAAAAATATGAGTACAACGGGTGTAATGTGTTCTTAAACTGAGTAATATTCAGCAACTGAAAAATACTTAAATAAAACACTTTTAACAAGAAAACACTAACGCGTAATTTAAAACCGACAAATATTAGTTGACCACAGCTGCTCCAAAGCATCCGAAACTACCGTAGTTAAAAAAATAATTAACTAATATATTTAGCATTTTAAAACCACTATTTTTTTATTGTTTGAATGTGTACCTACACCTACTCACGTGAACAGACAATACTGCCTAACTCCAGGTATGTATCAAAACTATTCATCCAGATTCATTCGTGCTGTTAGTATCAAAACTTTCAACTATTAAAAGTGAAAACCTTTTCACGCTTTGTGGAAAGCTTTCCCCTAATGTGTATGCTAACACATTTCTTTCATTAACTCTCTTCTATTTTTCTATTTATGGTCTTTGTACTATCTGATTCCGCATCGATTAATCCACATGCACAAATTCGCAACAAAACAACAACTGCAACAAAATTACTCAGAAGCAATAATGGTATTTCATTAAAACCTGTTTTAATCTATGGCGTAGCGATCGTCGTTGACAATTTTATTGCAAACGAAACCTGTAATTATAGTCTGCGATATCATAGCATCTATTCGCACCGTATATCGCGGTGTGCATGCGACGGAAATAACGTATGTATTCTATTGATTTTGTTAAAAACGCACTGACTGGCCTTCAATCATTTTTTATGTCCGCATGGTGTGATCGTAATACGGAATACGTAATAAGGAATTTCGACTTTATTTAACACTACCTATATAATATATTACACTACAATGGAAGTCTTAAACATTGCCTGGTGCTATGTGAAATAAATGCGAAGTCCTGGGTTCGAATCCAGGGAAAAGTCTAAATATATGCGCATTGGGCCCCAAAAAAGGGGGGGGAAAAAAAACGGGGAATTTTTGGGAACCCCCGGCCCAATTGGTTTGGGAAACACGGAACGCTGTGGTTGTGGGCTTAAGTCTCGCCTGTGTCGAAAAATCTAAAAGTGACTTTTAATCATAAATAGTTTCGTTCGGACAGGGCATAGAAGTCTGATCATATGTTATCAGTGGCCCCATGCCCCACGTAGGGGACACTATACTAATGAAAAATTTAGCCGTTGCTTAAAAATCTGTATCTATATATCAATTTATGACATCTTCCAGCAAGTTAGGTTATAAATTACCCTGTTGTACTCGTCAATAGCTTTGTTTGTGTGCAAGCTATCTAGGCCCATCCCCCGAGTCTAGATCCTACCTACCTACGGAAACAGGTTACATAGCCGAGGTATATAAAGTATATGCTGGCGTAGGTTGTATGTGCAACGTCTAATGAAATGGGCTCAGACGACTGTATTTTCACAGACTTACGAAAGAGGTTTTTAACATTTAGCGACACAGTCGTAAATTACTGGAGCATTTTACATTCTGTCTCATTAGCGTTGGGTGCGGGTTAACTACTTTTTACCAGTCTCACAAGTATCGCAAGGCCAACGTTTGGGACGGTGTCGAAAACTTTTTCAAATTACGAAAGTAAACATCAGTGTGCATATTATATTAGACGTTTTTATTTATTTAGCAGATGATAAATCATTTATTAAATGTACTACAAAAATTTATACATTTAGTTTAGAAGTTCTTAACTAGTAAATTCTAAACTAAATAGTTCTTATATAAAAAATAGATATTAGAATGGACAAGAAATGGTATCCGTGTCACTTTGATACGCTGTTAACATTGGGTTTAAATCTCTGCCATGTTAACAATTTCTACATAATATTAAATTACTTTTTCTTTGTACCTATCTCGCTGTTAAGTTAATTATTAGTTAGGTTAGTTTTATATGCCTTATGTGTCGTGGGCCCAGGGATTAATATTCTTAATATCATATACAATCAAGAATGTGAGATTTCATTTACCACTTTCCAATGCATCGTATCAGTGCAACGACCAACGCGCGATGGGACGATCTCGCGGCTAGCGGATCGGGTCCATCCAAGGACGTCCACTATTCCACCACCCACTCTCAACAACAGGACCTTAACTTCTAAGCCATAAATATCATTTTCGTATGCACCCAAATATTGCGTCGGTTGAACTAGTAAGAAAAATGATCCTGTATAAAAAAAGTAAAAAAGTAGAGAGCCCGCGGTCGTTTTATTTTGTAGAGCTTCAGTGATGCCAACATGGCGGCGTTTCGACGGCGAATATTCTATACAGTAAATCTATATAGCTTTTATTGGATAAATGCATTAATATATTGAAAAAATACATTGTTAAATCCTCACAAGTTTTAGTTAAGCACATCTAATCATGATCGCTATTAAAATGTACGTTATCCACCGTTTTGTCAAGGCAGGTGCAGCTGATATTTTGACAATAATACTTAGCAGAAACACCCATTTCTAATTTAATAGACCGCTTTTTTATACCCTCTTGACCCATTATACTACTGACGATGTTATCTTTGCCATGCTTGATATACGCGCTATGATAAACAATATGTACCTAGAGTATTCATTGAATCTGACAAGTGTGTTTTTAATTTATACTTTTTAATTATCGCAAAATATGTGATCAAAACATATTATGTGACATTAAATAATAATAACCCTTCTTTGCAACAAATCTACTTCAATTAAAACCACTTTATCTTTTAAAAAATATTTTTTAATAACTTTTACAGAGTGTACAGCGCCTTAGACATCAAACTGTTCTACGTTCTGTGTTCATTTAGTAAAATTTATAAATAGCTTTAAATTTTCATTATTCGTGTTAGCAAAAGAATGAAACGTTAAAGTCTAAATACTGAAAGAATATTCGTTCTTGCAAGTTACCTTAAATATTGTTAATATACTGAATACGATTGTTATAACTTAACTATATACGTAAACGTAGAGACGTTGACAATAGCAGGAAAGAGTATATTGTTTTACCTCGGTCTCGGGGAGTTTCGCTACAATGAGTAGCATCCGGACTCGCCCGGTTTGGCTTTTGGGACCACGGAGTCAGTTTAACATTGTGCCAACTTGATGGGATTATCCTCATATATATTGGAATAGATTATAGACCATTCTTAGCTCTTAAAGCGCAACAATAGGCCAGATTTCACTTTTTAAAAAGACCAAACGAGTAAATAGTGTTTAAAATTGGAAATTATATTTTATATAATATATTAAATACATTTTTGAATGTAGAATTAATAACTTACTAAAATCACCAACGATATAAATAAAAGTAAGACTAGCGAGGAAGACACATAAAAAACACGTTAACGGTTTAAAACACGCACAAGTTTAATTAATATATATCGCGTTTTAAACCGTTAAAGTGTTTTATTCAAAAGTAAGGAAATCTACTTAAAAATGACAACTAAGCTGTCGGTTTTCAAATTGTTGGTCTCAACAAAATGTAACTAAGTTAAAAGCGACGATTCAAGACTTGATATCGCTGCAGTCTATTATTTAATTGTCTAATAGTAGCGAGATAAGAGGGAAGGGCACCCCAGATAATATAAAATAATAAATTCAGACGGGCGCGTGGCAGGATGCTGGCGACAAATGACGAGGCGGTCGCTTCGCGTGAAATTACGATTATCTCTTTATGCTGGCCACCCCTTCACTCATTATGCAAAGTCAATGTTATAATTGTCGACAATGCATTCAAGTTCAAGATACAACTATCCTTGTGTACCCAAAATCCTTATGAGCATCAGCAAAAGATTGACGGCTTTGTTGGTCCTTGGCTTATTTATATATAAAGCTGAAGATTTTGTTTGTTTGAACGCGCTAATCTCTGTAACTACTGGTTCGAATTGTGCATTGGGATTCCGCTGCTTACTTTTGGAGGAACTTTACATGATCTTGAAAAAATGTACGCGACAGTATAGTCTATTCAAACTTAACTTGCAAGTACGACTGGATGCGGACGATGACGGATGTGGACGTTTTAATTTATAGAGTTCAACAGGAGGTTAGGAAAAACAAATTTTTGTGGCCAAAATAACTATTCTACGCGGACGATGTCTAATAAAGCTGATATCTGTAGCTAGTGTCTAATAAAAAGAGTCATGGTTAAGACATCTACCGAATACTAATATGTTAAAATAGTTATTTTTTAAATATTGTAACTCAAGTTAAATGATATTTGAATATCAAAATTCTAACTAATAAACATTTTTCTTATTTTCATACTGGCACTGGCTCACTTCATACATACACCAAAACACACAACATGCAAATTCCACTTAAATAGACACTAAATGTAAGTAGACATATGTTAGCTTAGATATTTTATTATTGTAACCTATAACTGGATGAAATTAGTCACCCACGACACAGGTTTGCCCTAGTGGGGGGACTGACTCTATTCTGCCCAAATATATGGAAACAATAAATATTTTTGAATTTAATTTGATTTACTACATTCGAGTTATGTTAATACTAATATGATGCTATTATGTTGATCAATATTTTAGGGTTAACCACCAAACGCCAGTATGGCATCAAATTAACGATCTACTTATACATTATGAGATATCGAATATTTGATCCCGTAGGTACACATTATTACGGCTCATAGGATTCGTCAATTTCGTAACTCAACGAGACACCATGCGGGATCGCATTATTGCTTTTTTATTAGTTTTTTCAATAACCCCCGCTTCGCAGGGTTTTTGCTGCGCGTGCGACGCCGTGGGATAGGTCGCGGAGCGTCACTTGTTTATGCTGGTATTAGCATAATACGCTTACGAGCGCATTGTTCAGCAATTGCCACTTATTCCGCTGTGAATTGCAAATCGAGCGATTTCCCTAATAAAGTTTATCGCTCTCCGAGTCAACATACTCGTCGCGTCGTCTTCCGCGAATTTTGTAATAAAAAGACAATTCGAATCAAAGGTCGCGAGGCCTAGTTTAACGAAAGTACATTTGCATTTTTGCATCGGCGTTTCCGGGGCAATAACCAAATTATCATCGAATTCTAACGGTCGTGCGGTCGACCGGCGACAATCGCTAATTATTCTTACTATTGGGACGCACAATTTTATTACGAGAAGCGAGACGTTAAAAACGAATTGCTTAGGAACTGGTTAGTTCATCTATCGACCGATATAAGACATTTTTTTAAGTATTAAATACAAAATAAGCATGAAGTTTCACGGTAATTTTGAAATAGTAAAGAGAGTATATAAAGTTACAAGTTTATTAAGTTAAACCGTCTAATAAGCAGCATAATTATATTTCGCGTTTTAAACCGTTAAAGTGTTTTATTGAAAGTATTTTATATTTAACATAACAACGATTTTTATACGATTGAAAGTATCAAAAGCGCATCTATGCTCTATCATAGTTCTATCGAATAGATTTTTTAATTTCTTTTCCCAAGTCCCAATTTCGTTCCCACAAATCAAACTTTCCACTCTTTTTGAACCAGTGATCGGTCATCGATATGCAAATGATTGTGATAAGTGCACTTAACCACTCGTTGAGCCGACGAGAGGCACTCCCGACATTTCGCTGCCTTTGTTTATATAACGATTAAATCAAATTAAATTCTGCATCAACGTGTGAAATAGTTTCTTAGTTAAATTATACATTTAATGCATCGTTTTAACATGTAACAGTTTAAAACACAAAATATATTAGTAAACTTATTAACAATTTATTAAAGCTACGGCCCGACGTTTCTTTTCTTGTCTCTTTATATAGGTATATAAGAAACGCTGAAATAATTGCTTGAAATTGTATTCTATTTTTGGCGATTATGTACTAACAATGTTCTCAATATTGTTAAAATAAACAAGATCCGATGTGTTCTTCTTTTTAAAATTTAGTATTGTTCTTTTTAAATAATCAGGTTAAACGTTTGCCTTCATTTAAGAATGATTTTCTATAAATATGGGAATTTAATAATCGATTCTATAAACGCATTAATGATAGAACGGGTGTCTCTACCATCATTATTTTATGAAGATTGACACCATAATTTAATCAACTATCCTTCTATATTGAATTAATATAAATTTCGTTTTTATGTTTTATTTATAACGTATCAACTAGGAACAGACCACTTAGTGACGAATATTTGCGGTTTTTGATGATTCTCTTTGATTAGTTATGTGTTTAAAGTTACTTATTCTGTAAATAAATCTTTTTACTTATTTAATTATGAAACTAAATAGAGCCCCTTAAGTAAAGTAAAATTAATTTAAGAACATTTCACATAGACTAGCAAAACAATAGTATTTAATAGAAGTCTAGATGTAGGTATGTATTTACTCAGACCGACTAAAAATTTCTCTTCGTCTAGTTTCAAATATCGCGCGTAATAAAATATGCGCATAACGTAAACAGAATGTGGGATGGATCCTATATCAGGAACGTAACATTCTGTTAAACAAAAAATATTGCACACAGCCTGGTCTATTTTTGAGTGCATTTCGCGCTATTTTGGCGTTCCCCACACAAGCAATATGTCAATGACCCTGTTTTGCGGCATTTGTTCACGTACTTTTGGGAAGTTTTCGTCTATTAATTCGACTCGGCGACAACACGAACGCCGTTTGTTCAGTGAATCTCTTTAACTATTTAATTACACTTAATTTTAAATAAGTAGCTTTTTTGTATGCAAGTGATTCACATACAAGCTATTTCTATGATAAGCGAATTTGATTTTTGTGATGCAAAATTAAGAGTAAGTGCACAATCTAGTAGGTACATACATTTGTTTTATTCGACACTAAGTTTTTAAATGTTACTATTTTGCATTTACATATATCTAGAATTAATTTATTTGTTGTGAATCGATGCGTATCACAAAAAATTTTTGTTTCTCAAAAACCATTCTACAAAAACTAAAATTTATCTAGTTATAGAAATGTGTAACCACTTACACTCTAATGTAAATATAAGAAAGCATATTAATTGGAATTTTATGATAATCGATACAGACTAACAGAATATTTTATATCGATAGCACGACGCAAAGTTTAACGTTAGCATACAAAGAGACAGGGCGAGGCTCCAGCTTTTTATAAGCTGAATTCGGCTTTAATCTATCGGAGGGACGCGGGCGGCTCGTACGATGCGCGCGCGCACTCACGCACACATGGCCCGCTGCCCTCCTCAGCGGGCTGCAATTCGATGGCACGCCGCGACCCACACTCGCGCGCAATTGCACTGCACTCCGGCGTGTGCGTAAAAAGCGCACACAGAGGTGCGGGGCGCGGCGGCGGAGGACTGCGACTGTTCGCCTGCACTAACAGTCATCGCCAGACGCTCGCGAGAGCACACCGCCCCCACAGGGCGAAACTCACGCTCAATCGCCTGTCGCGTACAACCCCCGTGCCGTGCTACGAACTTAACAGTGCTAATACGAAATTCACACATGCAGTTATACAACGTATGAGTTGGTTGGCGCTCGGAATTTGGATCTTGCATTTATAATACGGTAAGTCATTATTATTTATACTATTTTTTTTGAACTCGTTTCGTAGAGTACAAGTTTCGTAGAGCCGCTACGAGACGCGCTAACTCAGCTGATAAAGTAAGTGCTATTATCAGCAATTTATTAATGCTCCTAATACTAGCAGGGTAAAGTTAATAGTTCACTGGCGATTTGAAAGCTGAAATATTTAAGGGGTGCGTTCTTTATAAGTTCCCCGAGTTCGTTTTGCTGAATAAAAGGTAAAACGTCAATTTGGCAGTGAGGAAGGGCTATAGTATGGAAATGGGGTAGGGCGGTGCAGCGGGGCAGTGGACGGACCGTAGAAAAATACACGTAGTCCCGCACTTGGCACTGCAAACGCGGTGCGTGCGATACGAACGTGCGGTCCGCGCTCCTCGTTGGTACGATTCGCGAGTTAACTAAACTGTTTTGTATGTAAATGTTTAATTGGACTGTGCTATGTATCCCGCTTCGTCTTGTGAGGGCTTTTTGCCAGGTTGGTTATAAAATTACAGTGTCGCTTATAATAATTTGTGATGTTGAAAAGTATTTTTTTTGGGAGCATTTTTCAAATTTATAGAGTGAGATTAAGTTAAACTATATATTTAGTAAAGTAAAAGTAAAGTTTATGTAGGCCCACGTGATGTACAATTAAATGTGTTAATAATTTTTACAATTGAGAGTAGTGTACTTGTTAATAAAAATATAAGATAAAACTTCTTTAATATTATAAATAGTTTTTAATTCATGTGATCTCAAATATTTAAAGAATAAAATGGCAATAGATAAAAATATTATTTTTTTACTTAAATTATATTTAATTATGAACGAATTTATAAAAGATAATTGTATCAAAATTGTATTAGGTATATGGTATTCCAATAAGACAAACTCATCTGGTAGAGCTTTTTCATATTTTTAACAGAACGTTTCATTGTTCACAGAAGCTCAATTCAGAAAAATGGGCAGTAGCGAGGGTCAGCAAACGTTTTGCCTAAAATGGAACCACCACAAGACGAACCTCGTCGAGATTCTGGAGGCGTTAATTAAAGTCGAGACCTACGTTGACTGCACTCTGGTAGTCGACGACCAAGTCACGTTTAAGGCTCACAGAGTGGTTCTAGCAGCAAACTCACCCTATTTCCAATCTATATTGGCCGACGTGCCGATGGATCATTGCAGCATACTTTTCCCAGGCGTTAAAGATTTCGAGATGCGCGCTCTACTCGAGTACATGTACACAGGTGAAGTAAATGTGACTCAAGCGCATATTCCCCGTATCATGAAGGTCGCAGAACAGCTGGAAGTTAAAGGTCTGTTTGATATGACCGAGTTACGACGCCGGCCGGGCAGCAGCGAGCGGACCCCGGCCGCGTCGCCACCGAGAGTCGTACCTGCCGCGCCCTCTAGCGTGTCACCGCCGGTACCGATCAATCGTTGGCCTCCTCCTGCGCCCTTACTTTCTGCCGCATACGATTCCGCTGATATGAATCCCTTGAAACGCAAGAAATTATCTAGCATGTTAGCCACTCGTGACACTCCGATTTTAAGGAACGTACTCGCTCAGAACACTTCTGTAGATTCCTCGCAACCCATTTCCCTCGTATGTCACCCGGTGAATCACGAGCCAACTCGCCTGCATTCGAACGGTTCTGCGCACGAATCTGAACGTCCACCGAGTCCACAACGTCCTTTCGACTATCGCCCTCGCAGACTATCATCACGAGCGTCATCACCACATTACAATCGATCGGATCGGTCTGAAGACGCGCACTCTCCTTACACTGAGCGCTCGTTTGAAGAAGAAAATGCTCGCTCGTTCCACCCTTCTTCCCCGCCTACTAGCTTTCAACAAGACGTAAGAGCCGGGTTAGCACCATACGTCCCCCCTCAACAAAAACCCGAGTGGAAACGCTATAAACAGTACACCAGGTCCGATATAATGTCAGCAATTGAATGCGTCCGAAATGGCATGAGTGCTCTGCAGGCGTCGCGTAAATATGGCGTGCCTTCGCGCACACTTTACGATAAAGTAAAAAAACTAGGTATAACTACAAGTCGGCCTATGAGCCGCGGGGTGAAGAGAGAATCGAATGGCGCCGCATTTCCTTACGGCTTAAGCGGCACAGGAGGCAACGATGATCACACACCCTCGACTCCCTTAATCGATCCGTCGTTTTTACAACAAGCTTTAGAAGGAGCGACGAGGGACGGAGGCAGGGAAGCCCTACATGCTATGGCGCTGGCGGCCGCTGCTCATGCTGCACTCACCCCGCGAACGCCGCCGCGATCGAGGCCTCAGTCCCCGCGCTCCCCGAATCACGACGACAACCACGTCGAGGACCTCTCGGTAGCCCGACGTCGTGATCCAGATCCACCCTCCGGCGTCATCGTCCCACCTCGCAACTTCGCCCTCGATTGCAGCAGTGAAAGGGATTAGACGGCAGCATGCATTGTAAAATATTTGACAAGACTGATATAGGCGTACAAAGTAGTTAAGACACCTAATTATAGGCAGAACTGGTAGGACGCGTCGTGCGCTCCAGAGCCACGTAGACCGGGCGCTCCGGCCGGGCGATTGCAATGGGCCCCGTGGCCACTTATCTTCTACCTCTTTTCTATTCTATTTATTTCCAAACGCCGTAGCATCCGAGAACGAAATCAAATTTCCGTTAGACGGCGCGCTACGGCGATTTCTTGTGATTTTATGTTTGTTTTCTCTTCAGTAGTTTTTTTTTATGTTTATAACATTTACGACTTTGTTAATAGACTAGCTGATAAGATTTGTATTAATCAGGAGTAATATTAGGTTAGTTAGAGCGGTAACCGTTACAGGCCATCGGTCGAAAAGGCTGCGCCGGCGCCGGCCAGACTTTAGGCTGAGTACCTCTGGTAGGTCCGCCTAGACGAGTTATTGTGCAATTTGTTGTCCGCGACTGTGATGTTTTTAGACTGAAATGCCGCCATTACCTCACGCTCGCTATAGTTTTGACTCTAGTCCGCAGCACCGCACGTTGCAAACCTGGGTTTCATAGAACCGAGAATACATAGCGAACCAAACGGAACATTGTTTTTGCATTATATTTGTAACTCCTTCGATATTTACGAATTGTTTGCGCATAGTCACTATTTGTTCATTGTTGAATACAACTTTTATATAAGACTCGTTTGCATAAGCTGCACGATGTTTCTTATTAGATTTTAGGAATCATAATTATTCATAGTCGAAAATGCTCAATAAAAGGAAATATACAACACAATATTACTTCAACATACAACATATTGTTAATACGTAATTAAATTAAGTTCACGAAAAGTACGAGGTCGCAGTTTAACTTTAAAATAAAATTATTATACTTATTTAATATTAAGTAAATTGGAGTTCCAAGGTGTAACGACACTAACACGACCTATAAAATTAGATGCAAATATTATATTTATAGCTTAGAATAACGCATAACATGTTCAAGTACATCCTTATGTTAACTCTGTCATTATTGTTAAGTTAAATGTATAATTATTTGGTAATTTTTGAAGACTGATTTGTTACTTTAGTCTAGTTTGACAATGCCATAGATACAATGTAATGTTTGCATATTGTTTTAATTATAAGAGTGATCACGTTTTGAGAGTGGAGACACTTAATTGTCACGATTTGTGCCTTGTTTGTTGATATCGTAATGTTTTTTGGACATTCCAATAGGTTCAGTTTGCGCTGTTTAAACACGATTTAGGCACTTTTGTTATTAAATAGTAGGTACATGGATGCAGAATTCATAAAACTATTACTAACATTATGTCTTGTCGAATTCCTAATCGTAATTACCTCATTTTAGCTTAATGAAATATTATGTGATTGTATAAATAATTTTGTGCCTATAAATATAAATAATTGCGGTGTTATATTATTATAATTATGGTCTTTTAGTTAAATCGAGTCTTAAGTACTATGTAGTTGGTTATGTATCTACGTAAATGTAAAATTATGGAAAATCAATTATTGTGTGTAGTTCGAGAAAATTATTGAGTTAAGTCGCATCTACATACCTAACTTTAATAAGAACTTTATCTATATTTACAAATAATATAATGTTATCAATACAAAATAAACGTTTAATTGAAGAAAAAACTCGTTTTTTTAAACTTTGATATATATCCTAAAGTAATCTACTCATTATTTCAATTTAAAGTTCAAATCAGGTATAAGTCTACAATGGAAATGCTTCCCGAGTGGAGTAGTTACTCTTTTAAAAGATTTATAATATTTAGATGCATTTTCAAACTTTATTCAAACGTTTTCTACAATTACTTATGTACTATGATTACGACAATTATGGCAAATTATAAAAAAATAATCAACTACATATTATGTAAAATTTTACTCTTTTTTTCTCTTTGTACCGCCATCTATATTAGATTTTAGTTATCATTTAGGAAATCACACATATTTATTTTAGCGCCATCTAGTAACATACCTATATAACACTATAAAATATTTCTATTTGTTAATAAATACGTAATTTTTTATTTAAATTTAATAAGGATGATAACGCTTAACAACCAATATGATATAAGGATTAAAGCAAAACCTTTTTCTTTATTTTCATTATTAATGTAACAGGGACCGAGAATTTGAAACTTAATTTATACATCTGTCTTTGCTATGAAGTCTGTGGCCCAGAATTTAAGCCAATTATAAAGTGGCGGAAATCCCAGAATGACGTAATATCACACCACTAGTATGCGGCTATTTGATTGGTTCTCGAAACTCTTGTCAAAGACATGAAAATAGTGAGCGAACGCAAATTGTAAACACTGACGAAAATAATTAATTAAATGTGTAATATTTGTTTTCGCTTAAATAAAAATAAAGAAGATGGAATCAGATGAACCTTTAATGAATAATGACGTGTTTAATGTTAATGACATCGCTGAGATTGAAGGTTAGTCGAAATAACTAAAGCATTTTGCTCTCTTTCATAAACTTTTACGCTAAAAGTCATGTATTTCAGATTTTCTTAGCGGTTGTGATGGAGATTTTATGGTAAAACTCGAAGAGGAGTTGGCGCTAATAGATCATGACATTCAATTAATAGACGCCGATACAAAATCAGTCTCCAATACACCTCCAAAGGCTTCTTCCTACAATACTAGCACTGGCAATCCTCTGGTATCCCAATACTCTCAAAACAGAACATCGTTACCACAAACACCACAGCCTAAAAGTAGCCCAGTGCTAGGTGTCTATGGTAGAGAAGAATCATACAATTTGGTAAACAAACCCGATAGTACAGTCTTACCTGATACGCCACAATGTGCGCCAACCCAAGCCCCACAGCAAACCCCTATGATTGTTCAACAAGTTGTGCCAAGTCCACTTTATGTTAACATGTCACATGGAAGCTTACAACAACTTCCTGATGGAAGAAGTCTTGTACAACTTGATGGGGTTCAGAAAGTTAATCAATCCAGCAAGCCACAAACAACACAACCTATATTACTTCCGAATAATACTAAGGGTGTTACACCAGTGATTATTAAAAGCAATGATTCTAATTTTTCACCAGTACTCTTACAGTCCAATATTATTAATCCCGAAACTCAAACTCTAATGTATACCAGTGCACCAATTCAAGGTAAATATTTTTAATATATTTTAAGACGATTGCCTTGACTAAGCATAGAATCAGACTAATACCAACTTTGCCCAAGTAGTATTATTATATAGTATTGTTTCTTATTTGATTGTTTTTCCTTATAAATGCTCTTTACTTATTATATTTCTTTGGGGTTTCAGCTTCTACACCAAGTATAATGACAAATACACAAGCTAGTAATGAAAACAGGCCACTTCAAACTTTTTTCACAAACAGTGGGCATACAATACTCACAACGGGCATTATTTTAGAGGGAGATAAGTTTGCCATCAATCATGCATCTAACACAGGTCCGCCTAAGGTCAAAGAAGTGAAAAGAAGTGCTCATAATGCCATTGAGAGAAGATACAGAACAAGTATCAATGATAGGATTATAGAGCTCAAGAATATGCTGGTGGGGGAAGAGGCTAAAGTAAGGAGACTTAGAAGAATCTTAAATCATGTTTTCTTATTGTTGTTTCTAATTATAATGTCTAAATAATGTTTTCTGAAAATTCTTCTAGAAAAATAGCTCTGGATTTTAGTAACTACTCCTATGCTATTGGTTTTGTTAATGTGAGGTTCCCTCCAACAGGCGTGGGGCAAACACGTTTCTGTGACCGTGTCTGTGTCTCTGTAGTTGATCACATTTCCTTGGCCTGCTTGAGAAAATTTCATATCCCCTGGATTCAAATCCAGTACTTGCTTAACCATTTGGCTACATTGGTGGATGGTTTTATTATGACCTTCTTAAAGTTATTGTTGCTGAAAATTTATTATTAGTTGTAGGCTACATATACCAATTATTCTAAACCCTTTTCAGTTGAATAAATCTGCAATTTTAAGAAAGACAATAGATTACATCAAGTATTTACAAAATCAAAATGCCAGATTAAAACAAGAGAATGTTGCATTAAAACTCGCTTGCCAGAAGTCTGGTGTGAAGGATGTGTTTGAAGGATCGTATACACCGCCACATAGCGACGTTTCTTCTCCATATAACTCACCCCATGCTTTTGATAGTGATAATCCATCATCGCCAGAATTTAAGGTAAGCTTTTCTCATACCTAAATGGTATATATAATGGCTTAGATTTTTATTATGTGTACTGTGTTATTAGGGAGGTAAAAATTTCTTTGTCTGAATAAACATTAGGTAGTCTGTTGTCTTGAATTGAATTTCAGATACATTACTATCAGTTAGTGAAAAATCCTTTCTTATATTCCTTATATCCTTTCTTATATTTATAACAAAATTTACTTCTCTAGTGGTTGATAATTTAGATAGAGGAAGGAAATGTATCGGAGTTTTTCTTGATCTAAAAAACGCTTTTGACACTGTCTCTATCCCTCTGCTCTTGCTTAAACTAGAACAGTCTGGCATTAGAGGTATAGCTTTGAAAATTTTTGAGGATTATCTTACAGATCGTACACAAAGAGTTAAGGTTAGTCAATACCTCAGTGACGTGCAGAATGACACATTTGGTGTTCCTCAAGGAAGCGTTCTAGGCCCAACCCTCTTTCTTATTTATATAAATAACTTGTGCAACTTCAAGCCTCATGGTGGTCATGTTTTTACTTATGCAGATGATACCGCAGTTTTATTCTCTGGTCATACTTGGAATGAAGTATATAAAAGTACTGAACAAGGATTATCTGAGATTGCTAAATGGCTAGATCTGAATCTTTTAACACTTAATACAAGTAAAACGAACTATATATGTTTTAAAATTAGTAATAAAACGCAACCTAAAAACAACTTAAATATTATAATTCATAAATGTAACATGGAGGAAGTAAATAGGTGCTCATGTCCACAAATACAAAGAGTAGACAACACTAAATATCTTGGTATATACATTGACGACCGTTTATCATGGTACCCACAATTAGAATCAATGTCAAATAGGCTAAGAAAGTTAATTTGGATTTTTAAAACATTGCGGCATGTGACCACCAAAGAACTGCTTAACAAGATTTACATAACCCTAGCAGAGTCAGTTTTAAATTATTGTATTGTGATTTGGGGTGGAGCCGCAAAGACCAAGTTGTTAGATTTGGAACGGGGACAGAGGGGTCTTTTAAAAGTAATGTACTCGCTGCCATACAGATTCCCAACGGAAGAGCTTTACCATCAAAGTGGGTTGCTGTCCGTTAGAAAGCTGTATGTTTTAAATACAATTCTTAAAAAACACCGTACTCTAATTGTTGATAAAGATATTTTAAAAAAGAGAAGGAAAGATATTGTCGACAAGATTGCAGTCAAAACAGCTTTTGCTGGTCGTAACTATTGTGTGCAATCCGTTTATTTGTACAACAAATTAAATAAGCTTCTAAATATACATCCACTCACGCTTCGAGAAGTTAAAATATTAGCTAGCAAATGGTTAAAAAGTGTAGCTAGAGGATATTTTGAAGAATCCCCGTTAAATCATCATACATCCTCATTATCAATCACTTTCTCACACACCCATACACATCAAGTCACACATCACATCAAATCCCATACTTATACACACACACCAATATTATAAAAAAAAAGCATGTTTAATTATTTAGGGATACGGAATAATGTATTATTAAATGATATGGAAGAGCTGGAAACCCTGGCACAGGTATCATTTACTTAAAAGGGTTTCCAGATCAAAAACAGTTTAATGTAAATATGGTTCCTGAATAAATACTTTATTATTATTATTATTTATATTCTCTTAGTTAGAAATATAAAAAAAACCTTTTATAATATTAATGTAATTTCAATTTTAATACTTACTTAACGTTATTCAATATTTAGATATTGGTTTTTATCTATTAATGATGGCCCGTGGTGCATGGTAAAATAAAAAATAATATGCTTTAATTTTATCTATGAATTTTACATTACAGGAAGAAAAATACTCCAAAGTGGTCATGGGAATGGGAGACCATTCGCGCTTGGCCCTGTGTGCCTTCATGGTCGGATTGATAGCATTCAATCCATTCAGTGCCTTCTTCGGAAGTTATATGTCTGACACACAGTTCACGGACTATAATTCACGCTTAGATCAGAGAAGAATATTATCTGATCCAGATGGTAGGTATATATTTAAAATCAAAAAGTTAGCTTGTGCGGGCTCCATAAGTTTACCTTGTTAATCAATGAAACGGACACAGATATACATTCATCCAATACCCGACAAAGGGCATTGGGATTGTCACTTTTCATATTATTTCACCTTACAATATCCAATGTAATTTTTGTGTAAACAATTACAAACTGACACATGAATGAACAATATTAATATTATCTTTTTTCATTTCAGATGACTCAAATACTAAATGGGGAATGTGGTTGTTTAACATATTTTTAATATATTTAGTAAACTTCGTCATTTTGGGGGGGTGCTATGTGAAGCTTTTGGTATATGGAGATTCAGTTCCTGAAAAGCAATCGAAGGAAGCATCTCTGTTTTATGAACACAAAAGTCAAGCTGATAACTATTTGAAAAAGGTATGTGCAACTACAGACCAAACTATATTTAACTATATTTTGAAATATTAGCAATTAATTTGAAGTTGTCTCGACTTCATTTTATTGTTAATACCAACCCTTTTAAAATAATACTTTTAACGGTTTAAAACGCAAAAAATATTAGTTAACTTATGTCAAATGCTTTACAGTACCAATAAAAACAAACAAGTTCAAAAGTTCCCGGGTTGGAATCCTAGACACAGAATACTAAGCAATATCACTTGCTAGGGCTCTTACCTAGATAGATAGCTATTTTTGTTTTAGCTTAATAAATATCGCCAGTTCTAATCCCGGAAAGTAAATATCGTTCCAATTTTGCAGGGTGATCTGAACAACGCACGTGTCGAACTGCACCGTTGTCTAGCGGCGTGCAACAAGAGCGTCCAATCGGCAGAGCAAGGTCGAGCCAAGTGGTCTGCGATTGCTGCGACTCTGCTCCGACAATTGATGCAGAGGTTACCACTTGGCGGATTCTTGGCGAGACGGGCGGGCGATCTTTTTAGTGATAGGTATCAATACAATGTTATGTTAAGTGTTAAAATTCTTTATTATTATAAAATACTTTTTTTATGATAGAGGAAGGTAATATCGAACGAAAATCGAATCGAAATGCGATTAAACCACAGATCTTTTACCTTGGACCGTGGTTCGTGACCCGGGCGGTATTTCGATATTTCTACTATCCATTTAATATCCTGATTTCTAGACGAAGTCAAACATATTTAAAAAAATTTGAGTGAAAACATATTACTTAAATCAGAACAGACATCGTTATGATTGATACACAGAGTCGCCTTAGTGAAAAGCCAAGTGGCAAAATCTTTTATTTAATAGTTGTAAGACTTGACAACATTATCAAATTAGAGAGTTGTGTTGCGTTCGCCTAAACAGTTCAATTATTTTTCTTTAAAGCAATCGTCTACTAATAACTACGTATTGATTAGTCAATTAACGCTGAGATTAAGAAAATATAGCCATGTTGTGTTCATAAAAGTTCTGTGCTCTGCTGGACCGAAACTAATCATCTAGCTATCACTTTTTTCAGCTTTTATGATTTCTTTGAAAATTTGTAAATTTCAGTCCAGCCCGTAGAGCAGCCAAGCATTGGGCGGCAGAAGTATCGAATGTCTCTCACAAACTGGCCCAGTTAGAGTTGCTCTTGAATCAGAGCGGACGAAGTGAAAGATTCGTGCTTGCGCTGCAGGCGGTTAACTTGGCGGAGGTGGCTGGTGATCAGCAACTCCTGGCTGATACTTACATTACCGCTGCTTTGGTTTTCAAAGACTACATGCCTAGGATTGGAAAGGGGTTGTGCAGGTAAATTTATAATCTAAAGTATATTATTCTCATCATCATCAGTCCACTTGCGACAACTGCTAGACGTAGGCCTTTCCCAAAACATGCTTCTTAGCGCCCCCTCCATTTACCACTGGTTTCATTCTTCAGGTAATCAGTGTGTGTGTGTAGCTTGCTGCTTATTGGCCTACGCTGCGTTTACCTATCCATTTTAACCACTTTTAATTAAAAAAAAAACGAAATTTAGTCTTCCCTATAATTGGGGATCAAATTTTGATATTCGCCTTGCATACATAGATAGATGACATGGTCGATATTTATTCTTTTTACGTCTCTTCTACTTAGGGAAAAAAATCAAAATAAGTCGCATCTGTAAAACACGGCTTTTATAATTTTCAGGTCTTACCTTCGAGCGTGCAGCGCGTGTACAACTTGGAGAGACACCACAGAGTGGCCCTTGAGGGTCCGTTGGTCAGCTAGTGAGCGCGGGCAGATTTTCCTGCGCACGCGCACCTGGACGTACGAATTGGCGCCCCCATCTGCTGCTCTCTTCTCTCGCATTCCTTGCCCGCAGGATCCACTTGCTTATGCTATGAGGGTTAGTACTGTTTGAATATGTAAAGGTAAGGTTTTCTGTTGAAAAAGTTCTTTAAATTTACTTACTGCATTCGTTGAATAATATGAAGTCAATATTTCTGCGTGTGAACACATTTTATGTCAATTTCACTTATAAATTTCAATTAAAAATACTGTAAATCTTATGACTTTAGAATATTATAGAATTACTTAATATTGTCATATTTAAAATTGCAGACTTACCACCTGGAATTGCTGCAAAAGAGTCTGCAGGTGCTGCTTTGTGCTGACGAGAGAAGCAACACTCGCGACGTACTGGACCTCGTAAAACTTATCACAGATGACGTATCAACGGATGCTCCACATCACTCAGGTAAATAACAAACTGTAGTGGGGTATGGGGCAAACGAGCGAAACCTATTTTTTAATGACAACCCAAAATTTTACCACTCGAATTTTGGTCGTCTTATATACAAATATTTCTTCCAGGTTGTTGGGATCCAGTCATGGAGTGGTGGGCTAATATAGTTGGTGTGGCGGCAACTTGGCTATTGGCTGACGTAAATAAGGCAGCTGATATTGGCGATCGACTCAATATGCTTCCTGAGCCTCTAGCGAATTGCGAAGATCCGCTACCAGGGTATGTATCTGATTAAATTTAACGACTAAATTAATTTAAACCAAGTATTTTAAACAAGTGAAACTTCGTTTACTGTGTCCTGACTTGAACACTATACTATAATATAATTATTTTATTATTTAAGTGTATGTAAATAATACTTATAAGTTATATCAATAAAAAAAATATTTAAATAAAACACTTTAACGGTTTAAAACGCGAAATATTTTAGTTAAACTTGTTTGAAAATTCTTTTTATTTCAATGTACAACAGACAGTATTTAAATATGATACCAATATTCTAATTAACTTCTAATTGGTGAAGATGACTCACGGGTCTCTTATGGGGGGTCTATACCCCTAATAATAATAAACTTGTTTACATACACAATTAGCTAATTACATCGATTTCCTTTTTTCAATACGTTTGACATTGTACTTCACTACTTTAAAAATATATCTAGGAACGAAGTATCCCCACCTTTTCCTACTCTCTCCTGTTCCTTCTTTCTCTTCAACTAGTTTTTGTATGTTGCTAGATGTCATACAAACTTATTACTTAATTTACGAGTATAGTATATAATATTTATATGTCCAAATATATTTTATAACATGTCTTACGACAAGGTTTTAAAGATCGCAGTCTTGCCTCTCCAAATTTAAGATTACTTACGTTTCGTTCAAAATTATAGGTCCTTTAAAAAAATTGATATAATCACCGCACGTATTTATTTTAGGAGATGTATACAACACACTGGTGACTTAGAAATTCTAATTGAAATAAATGTTTATTAAACACCTCGGTATAGTTTATAGTTGTATTAATAACTATTGTCTGCCGTTGTATAAACATGACTATTGTGCTGTCGACTAGGGCACTGCACATGGCGTACAAAAGCCGGCGCGGATTGCTTAGTTTGGCACAGTGTCGAGATGAACGCACCATCAAGAAGACGTCTGAAACTATTCTTAAGGTACATTATTTTAATATCTCAATCTATAGTACAGTAACAGTGGGAACTGTTTAGCAGGTTTAAGATGTAAGACCCACCAAGCTGTTCCAATCTGGGTTTCAAATATTATCAACACTAAATCATTGACTATAACTAAGTTAGATATTTATGTCTGGTAAAATTATAAATATGTTTTCAAATAGACTAAAACATTTTTAACCACCATTAATTTATAATTTTTGTGAAACACGTTGGACCTCGTCTAGACATCTGGATATTAAACGGGAGGTTAGGAATACTGAAATTCCGTCCGGGTCACGAACCACCGTCCACAGATGAAGAAGGCGTAAAGTTTAATTGCGTTTTAGTGTCAGTTTGCGGATTTCCGAATATCCAAAGCCAAAATAGAGCCAGTCGTGTTTAGATGTTATATTGGGATATTTCGCCTACCATCCAAGTGTACCTGCTTGTCTGTCCTCCTGCATTTAGCACAAAAGGTGGCAAGATTTTTAATATTTACTGGCATTACAACTTACAGGTTTGCGATATCGCCGGAGCCCGACTAGCTGATTCCTTAGCGTATTATTGCTGTAAGAAACCAACCCAGCTCATGATGGTGAGTGAAACACTGCTTTGGTGCTTTGTGGTGGTGCAAATATTTCTTGTTTATATTTTTTATTTGGCAGATGTCCAGTTTGCCCGCCTCGGGAGTGCATTGTAGTTGCATTGCACTTGTCTCTTACCTATTGTGCAATATAACTACAAGGCAATTCTCGCGACGGTTCAATTCGTCGCATGCAAGAAGCTTTTATATTTTTCGTTGCGTATATAAGTAATAAGTATGTAGCGTTTGTTTTATGCGCTCTGCAATTGGTGTTACGCTTTGTTATGATGTAAGCGAATTATATATATATTGCTTCGTCTTAGTGACTTGTGAATATAACTTAAGGGCTAATAAGGACGAGATTACCTTGTGAGATAAACATATTTTATAATTAATTTATAAGAAAGTATTACACACTGCAAAGAAGTTATATTAGCTACCTTATGTATTTTGCTTTACACTTTACATAGATATAGACAAAGCCATTATGACGGTTTAAAACGTGAAATATCAGTTCAACTTATATTTTGACGACAGCTGCTGCAAAGCATAAAAATGAATCAAATATAAGTTTTAAACCGTTTGAGGTGTTTCATGTAAATGTCTCTAAGTTATTGAATTGAAAACAATCCCAAAATTCTTATTATATTGTATTGAGGGTTAAAACAAGTATCGTGACCCCCACGATATTGTAAGACCCCCCTTACATTTTGGAACTCCCTGAGTTCTTTGAGATATCCTTTTTATACTAAAAATGTATATGTGGAAAAAATGCAGTTAATGCAAGTGCTGTGCTGTGACTGGATGCTGGAGGTTCGGGCAGGCGTGTGGGAGGCCAATGCAGGTATTAATTCGGGGCCCGCGCCATCGGAACAGCTGAAGGCCTTCCAGCGAGACCTGCATTCCCTTAGACGCCTTTCACAAACACTTCCGGTAACGTATCGAAGCATTCTTTTATAAAATAAATGGTTTAGCTTTCATACTGAAGGTATTCAGAGTTTCATGCAATATTTTAAAATTAAAAAATCTGTTATTGAGTGAAAAAAATTTTCGACACGGGCAAGACTTTCGGTTTTTAATTTACATAATGCTATCATGTGCACGTGAAAAATATTAAAATTGGTATCAAAACAGAGTCTTCTTGTTTTTAACTAGATATGGTTTTTAACTTTCTTACATTTTTCTTAATAAGTAAAAGCCTGTAAAAACAAAAATTATTTCTTTTGACAGTGGGTGACGTCACGAGTGTTTCTACAATCCGCCGTATGTCGCATGATGGCGGGCGCGGCACCGCGGCGCACGCAACAACTACTTGACGGAAGTCTCAGACCACGTCTCAATAGATCGTCCATGATTTGTGGAAAAGGTACATAATATGGGTTTTATTTTTTCGTCTAATCTTGTTTCTGTCCGTCTAGAATTGTTAGAGTGTTTTTTCCTATAAAATCAGATTTTTTTTTGATAGATCAGGACAGACAAGTTTGGAGCTCACTTGATGGTAGGTAGAATTGCCATAGCCATACTACATTCAAATAAGATGCCTTCAATCTTTTTGACTAACCTAAACGTTTAACTTTCCAAGTTTTTTAATTTGTGTTACCACGATGGTTCATGACCCCGGATGTTTTCAATATTCGTACCACTATCTTTGATTAGTGTTTAACAAAAAAGTTGCCTTATGTTTAGCGTTGCGAAACCCAATATGACTTAAAGTCGGACTGGGTGCACGACTCACCTGAAAATATAAGAATCCTGAAAATATTTGTACTATTTTATGTATTTAGAGCGAGCGCTAGAGAGCGGTGGAGGCGAAGGGGAGAGAGCTGTCGCGTTGTACATGGCGTGTAAACACCTACCAGCCGCCGTTTTAGCAGCACCGGGTGAAAGAGCTGGTATGTTAGCTCAGGCTGCTGCAACTCTGCAGAAGATCGGACATCGTAGCCGTCTCCCGCATTGCTACCACCTCATGAAGTCCGTTGGGACCCTGCCCTCAGCACCTTAGTGTTTAAAAAACTAAAATTGTTTTATACTTCAAAATAGAGGCTTGGTGACAGTAAATATAGAATATATATTCAACTCTACAGAAATATGTTGTCTTATTGTTATTTTTCATTAATTTTATTTAATTTTTTAACTGGTGTGTATAGTATGAATTCAAGAATTAAGAATTAAACGAATATTATAGTAAAGATAAGTTAAGTAATAAAGTTTTTTTTTAAGATGCATTTTTATTTATAGTCTAAGTTGTAGAAAAAAGGTGAGTGTGAAAAAAAAGTTGATGTTGCTTATTTCCTTATTTACAATAGACGACTATAATTATTCTATTTAGATATTAAACAGTATTAATGAGTATGGCAGTAAATTATATACATTGCAACATTTTCTTTTGCTTTTTGTGACATGGTAATTGCAACAATAATAGTTGTAGTACAGACTGCTTGCAATATAACAGCTGCTGTCAACGTAAATTGAACTTTTAGTCTGTAGACCTTAAAATCGTAAACAAAGTCAAAACTTGTTGAATTTTCTTTTGAACAGCTTTTTCTCTTAAATTTTACTGTAATTATTCAGAGTTTTCAGTGAAATCAGTATTAGATTAGTGGTGTAGACTTTGTTCATTTATATAATCAAATCATATAGTACTTCGTGTAATGGTACGTTTCCCATTTCGTGTTGTTGCAAATATTGATTTTTGTTTACATTTTTCGCTACTATTAAAACGTTTTAGCATTAAATGATTGTATTTTATTAATATTTTACAGGCCGCTGTGATAACAAGCCCTCCGAAAAAAACAGGGAATACAAACAACCACGCTTCAACCGGTGTTCGTAAGAAATCAGGTCCAAAATTCGAGTTATCTGAAGAACAGAAAAGGGATATAAAGGAAGCATTTGATTTATTTGATACAGAAAATACTGGTAAAATTGATACTAAGGAGCTAAAAGTCGCAATACGTGCTTTGGGGTTTGAACCTAAAAAGGAGGAAATCAAAAAGATGATTGCTGAAATCGATAAAGGTGACGGAAAGGTCTCATTTGATGATTTTTTAGACTTGATGACAGTTAAAATGGCTGAGAAGGACACAAAAGAGGAAATAATGAAGGCATTCAAACTTTTCGATGATGATGAAACGGGTTAGTATTATTAAGTAGTAAATACTATTTTTATATTCTTTACCCTTAATTTTAATAAATCACACGATGTTTTAGGTAAAATATCATTTAAAAACCTGAAGCGCGTAGCAAAGGAACTAGGCGAAAACTTAACAGATGAAGAATTGCATGAAATGATTGACGAAGCAGACCGTGATGGTGATGGTGAGATTAATCAAGACGAATTTCTGCGTATTATGAAAAAAACTAGTCTTTATTAAGATTGTAAGGGTATTCAATATTTCAGTGTCTAGTGTATACAAAGATATTAGGGATTTTTCATTTGATTCTCCTATTCTGCCTAGTCTCATAAAGAATTTCTGGTTAGATGCACAATTTATCTAAGTTATATGTTTTGTGTAGTGTATTTAATGAGGAAACAAATTATACTTAATGGTATTAATTTTGCATTTACAATTTACCATGCACAAATTAGTTATTCTAAGTTGATAATATGATTTTGACCAGAATTTGCCCATATTAAATGTTAAGTTTAATTTTAAGTTATCTAAAACAGATGTAAATATGTTTGTTATTAAGTATTTGAATTAAAAGGCTGGACTTTAAAAGGCATAAGAATGAACTTATCTTTCTAATCGCCGGAAATACAAGTGAATTTTAAATCAGTTAGATACAAAGGTTACTAGGTTATCTCTATTTATAAAACATCCTCTGTATTCCAAATGTTTAAAAATATTACAAAATATAAGATATAAAACTATATAAGTAAAACAAATCACATGTACTAAATTTTTTAGAAACTACTGAATGTATAATTAACAAGAAGTTATTCTATCTTTTGATAATTTTTAAAAATGAAAGCACTCTAATAAGAGGTTTGGCCTAAAATAAAAAAAATGTATTTCTTTTAAAAGTGTATTAAAGAAAGTAACAATTCAACCTTGTGCTTATTGTGTTTTCTTATAAGTATTTCATAAAAACATTATAAAAGCTTCAGAGATAAATTCGTGGGAGAAAACTTAATTCTATAGATACACTTAAACAAATCTTTCAACAACAGTGCCTTCAGCTTGTCCGAAATAAGCCTTTTGGCACATTTTTACAAATAATCCTGTTTCAACAACACCCGGAATCATTTTTATAACACTCGACACCTTTTCCCAATCCAGGTCTTGGTTTGTAAAAACCCAATCTAGAATGAAATTTCCATTGTCTGTTACAACTGGGCCCGCTTTTGCTATGGCGTTGCGTAGCTTCAATTCCCCTCCAAACAAGGAGGCAATTTTATTTTTAATTGGTATATATGCCATAGGAATAACTTCTATTGGTATTCCCTTTTTATATCTATCACCTAGTTTTTGAGAGTCTTTAGTATAATCAGCGATAACAACAAGTTTCTTCGAACATGATGCTACAATTTTTTCTTGAAGTAAGCATCCTCCGCCTCCTTTGATCAGAGTCATATTGGAATCTACTTCATCTGCGCCATCTATTGTTACATCTATGACTGGGTTGGTTTCCAACTCTCCAAGAGTTAATTTGTGCTTAATTATCAATTGCTTCGCTTGAAAAGAAGTTGGAATGCATATTACCTTCAGGTTTTCAGTTTCTACTCTTTCTGCTAATCGCTGTACAGCGTACACAACTGTTGAACCACTTCCAACTCCAAAAACACAATCACTTTTAACAAATTCATCGACCGCGCGGTATGCTGCCACTTGTTTAGCTTTTTCTAAGGACATATTTCGCTGTGGATGCAAATAAAACCTTAATCCAGTAATATAAATGTGGTAGACTTTACTCCGAAGATTACTTAACATGAAATAGTCTAGTCTAGTAATATCTAATTATAGAAATAGTATTTTGATCCAAGTGAATTTACATTCATATATAATGATGTACATACATATATAAACAAATCTAAACTAATGTGTTCACTTATAGCTAGTACCAATGGCTTGGCAAGTTGGCAAGTGCTTAGACGTGGTGAGTGTTACTCGACACTTATTTTGACAACTGACAAATAGATAAAGTTCAGAATTGACAGACTTTATTAACCATGTGCTTTGTTATCTACGTTTCGTAGATACAATCTTTTTTTAAGTACCCCCCCCCCCCCCCCCCCCCCCCCCCCCCCCCCCCCTGCAAATACGCCGATTGGTTAGATCCATAGGAAAATAAAAGGTCGTCGATTTTTTAATTTGTCTAGCCTCAGCCTCAGAATATTTGGTATTATGTTTGCCTTTGTATTAATACCAACAAAACAATTATTTCTAAGGCCATAATATTAATCTTCATATAAAAGGATATTTTCAGGTTATTGCGATTCTGCCAGCCAATTTTCCGCCAAACACCGATTTCGTTTGTTCGCGAGACAACCGTTTGATGTGGTTGCTATTTCACGGTCGATTTCACTTGCGCCAGTAGCGCAGGGAGCTAACAGCAATGCGATCTCCCGTGCTTTGTTGCATAGGGTTTTCTCCATAAAAGTAGTTTTTAAAACTAGGGGAGAATAAAAAAAAAGAAAAACTGCTGTATACCTGTTTAAAAGATGTATATTTTGTTTCTTAATAATTTAATGGAAAATCATCAAATATATTTTTTTGTTTGTTCATATTTTTTTATATATTTTCTTATGTTTCAGGTGGTATTTTTATATATTTCATGTGCTTATAGTAGGTAATTTAGCGCTGCTAGATTATTTTGATGAATGAAAGTGATTCACCAATTTATTCCAAAAAGGATCCCGATCTCCTTACTTAGCCGTTATCCATACGGTCGGTTTATTTCAATTTCCTTCATAAAAGACGCTATTCTCGGATTTGAAGTAGATTTATCATGCTCGGATAAAGCGGGAACTTTTTGTGCTTTTCTTGTGCCTGGATCTGACCCGAGATCTGTCCACTTAATGTGAATAATGGTGTGCGATGGAAAACGAATGCGAACCCAAACACAAAAGACAACAATACGAAGCGATTTCAAGATTTGATACAATTTTTTCTATATAAATATTATGATGATGCTGATATGAAGACTGCCTCGATAATATTCATTTAACAGCGACTATTTGTAGTAGGTTATTTTCATGTGATCAGTTTTTTATATAAAGTATCATGTACGCTACAGAGTTTTCCAAACTTCCTGTAATAGTGTCGATTCTTTCCAACACAGTAATTTTAAAGTTATTATTGTTTACAGAACAGTCTCGCGTTTGCGATCATTAACATAAAATGTGTTTATTATTTTAATTAAACCTCATAGTTAAGGCTGAAAAAAAAATTTGCTAATAAAGTACAATGAGGATTATGACAAGTGATGGTATATTTATTCTCCTATGTTGCGTCAAAAAATTTATTTTGTTTTTTTCTTATGATAGAAAGGAGGGGCAAGCATGAGATTCAGTTGATGATAGTTGAACCTATTTTAGCTTTGGATGTTCGGAAATCCATAGACTGAAAGCAAAACGCTATTCAAACTTCACGCCTTTTTCATTTGTGTGTGATGATGGTTCATGATCCGGACAGATTTTCCGATATTCCTACCATCCACAATATCCAATCATGATTTTCAGAAAATACATAAAATATTAGAAAAATGTTGGACCCGTTGGGGACTGAACTCACGAACCGTTACTAGCCATACATCGCTACTGTTACACCAACGAGCTTGTCGAATTGTGTTTTCTCCATTAATATATTAAATTACTGAACACATCGAAAGATTAATGCTATCAATTAATACGTTAAAGATTTAAATATTGTAAATTATAAATTGTATAAGCTATGCAATGTAAAATTCTAAACAATTATAATATCTTTCATATACGTAATAAAAGTTGAAGTAACCCATGACCACGATAACTTCGAGTTCCTGCATTGGAAATAGGTGCTAATTTTAAAAAAAAAAGCTTAAGTTCAAAGGGTAAAGTTGAAATTTGTAAGTCATACGTATACAATGTATGCTCGAGTTTCGCAATGTTCATGATGGTAAAACCTTTTTGTTCGCTCTTTTGTTACGGGAATCTGTGATGCCGTAGGGGATGTAGGCACGATTTCCATTATACGAGAGAGGTTTAGAGAGGTTTTTTAAGGTATCGAATTTGATTACGCGATATAGTTGTTAATTTTAAAAATCGAATTGCTTAATCTATTTTAAAAATTATCTAGTTGTCAATTTTGATTCAAGTGCTTTTAATTAGTGTTATGAGATTAATTTTGGTTTGTTAGACAATTGATAGAACCTGCCTGTGTTATTTTGTAGATACAAAGATAATAAATAAAACTAAATGTCTTACTGTATAGTAAACCTGATACTTAACTATATTTTACTATTTATATTGGGTACATGATTGACGATGGCCAAAATGAAATCATATAAAAGTGTTGTTTTTTAAGTATAAATAAATTGATGATGAGGCATTAAAACCCTTGACGATGATAGTAATTATTTAAACTGTCGGTGATCGTAATTACAAAAGTTGTTACGTTTGACTCTCGAGCAAATGGGCTCATTTGTTGAAAATATTTTCGCGATGTTAATGCCAGGTGATTCCACGCCGAGGTCTGCCAACAGCCCAACAATACAGTAAAACATTAAGCGTAATTATGATCATTTCGTTAGGCGTTTTATTAACATTGACCGGAAGCAGCAATTAATATACCCTGTCTAATATAGGGTGAAGAGTTTGCACTTCTTTTATTTTTTTTGCATACTCTGCCTTGTTAAAGTAAAATATCTTGGTACAAAGTTCGAGTTCAAATCCAAAATATACGATAAACGTGATGAAATAATACTTCATGTTCATAATAACAATAATGTCTACAAAATAATAATGTCTTCTATCGATTAATAAAGCAACAATCGATTCGATCAACAGATTAAAAAACGATTATACATCACCCCATCCCTATTATTAACTGTCAATCTTATCATCCTACCTTAGGCAGAGCATGGCACATAGTATTCAATTAAACCAATAGCTTTTCAACGATTATACGAATATCTCAATTCGATTGTTTAAAGCTTCATACAAACAACACGATAAACGTGTTTTCATTTCGTTCTATAAGCAAAAACGTTAGGGAAAATGTAAACTAAAACTGTTTTCGGAATGTCAGAGTCATTAAAATCAGGTTCTGCAATTCTAAACTTTTTATAAGGCTCGTATTTGCAGATATATGGTACCAAAACTAAACTGCCTTTGTAATATTTACATAATCGATTAAATTGAATCACTATTTTTCACACATCGCACTTTTGCTAGCGTGTATGTATATCCTTAAGTTTCAGCCCGCGGGGCATGGAGCAAACACATTTCTGTGTCAGTTTCACTGATCAGTTTTATTTATTGGCAAGTAGTGATCAGACTTCTGTGCTCTGCCTGACCGAAAATGGTAATTACATCATCGTAAAACGCGTGATTATGTCTTCAGTTCCGTCCGCGTCATCGTATTAATCTAAAGAAGATTATGTATAACCAATGTTATAAATACAAACACACTGAATATCGAATTAAATTTATTGACATAAATAAAATTGTTAAATATATATATCACACATGGCAATAGTTTTAACGTTTATCATCATGAAACTTTAAAAATATTGTCAAACTATTAAGTTGATCATTCAACTTAATTGTTTCAATAAGTTAAGCATCATTTTTTATCCTTTATGTAAATTGTATTAGTATTGTTTTCTCCGTTTCCTATGTTATGTATTCTACAGCCGTCACACTTTCCAAAAAACCAGCCTTTTGGAAATCCGTTTTCGTCTAACTGCAACTAGAAATGTTACATACTTATTACATTGTATTTAAATTGTCAACTTACTGGATTCTATATTAAAGCCACTTAAAACCGTAATCTTTTGAATAAATTATACTTAATTCATAGCGTCAAACCTATCAAATTAAACTTTAAAGCTACTTGCATATTTAACAAAGGAAACGCAATAAGTTGAATGTAGAAACCTAACTAGTGTCAAAGATTTAACAGAAAGTTTTCTGTCAATGCATTTAAACTTTTTGGTAGAAACTGATTCCATGATATAATATTTAAATAAAACACTTTAACGGTTTAAAACGCGATATATTAGTTAAACTTATTTGAAAATGATTTTTAACTTCGGCCCGACGTTTCGGATGCTTTGCAGCAGCCGTGGTCACGGGGAGACCGTGTCACGGGGGGTCAGTCTAACTAATATATCGCGTTTTAAACCGTTAAAGTGTTTTATTTAGATATAATATTAACAACATAATATAAGATCATCTTCAATTTGCCTCGTATCACTTACTTAACAAAATATCTGACCGTAAATGTTCGAAATTGTGACTGAAACTACGCATATGTATTCTCTTCAAACTCAATAAACAGTTTACGGAGAAAACTGTGTTAAAAAACAACGAAAAATATACGATATTAATATATATATATATTCTTAACACAAGATATTAAAAATAAAAATAGAATCTTTGGACTGAGAAAAAAAAATTAAACAAAATTTAAAATTAATAAAGTTTGTACGTAATACATTATTTATTTTGTCTTAATATAAATTGTGTTAACGTTATTTTTTCCATTTCCTATGTTGTGTATCTTACATCCGTCACAATTTGCCAAAAACCACTTAGGTAGAAATCCATTTTCGTCGAACTGAAACTTGAAAACATCGTATGAAAATTGGTTTGTTTTCATAGATGACGGGGTCGTTATTAATCTACAATGGTACTTATTATAACGACACATAGTATAATTAAATCTTTATCCAGTTTCTGCATCTTCTAAGTGTTTAAAAACTTTACTTACGATTAAACTTTTAATTGTTTTGAAAGTGTGTTTTTTTTTTAATTTTAGCGATAGATTGGCTTTCTGATTTAAATACGTAAGTAACATAAAAGATTTAATAAGATTTACTTACGTCGAAGTTAGGGTCTGCAGGTCTGTAAAATAAAAGTAAAAATCACTATTAGAAAAAGAATATAGAGTATAATTTGTATATTCCATGCTAATGTCTAGTGCTAATGACAGCTGTCAAACTATTTTCCTATAACCGATAAATAGCGCTATCATTGATGCTGTTTAGAATATATAACACATTATGCAGTAACGCATAAAGATTATTAGATTGTTATTATACTATTTAGATAACATGTAACATATACAACGCTACTTGTATACGATTAGGGATAACTGTTTAATTTCTTTACATTTTCCTTGTTTACTTTGTTACTTACAGATGAGGAACGTTAAATTCCAGACAGGATAATTGTTATTTTATTTATCATCGTCTTTCATGCGTTAGAAAAACAGGAAAATGTGTAAGCTAGTAAAGTAAGTAACGTCATATGTGATATGTTTACGCGATTAGAATTGAATATAAACATAAGTTAAAGAAAGAAAATATTATGTTTGGAACTCTTTTAAACAAACATTTTTACGAAACACAATTTAATGTGCTTAAAAACATATTTATCAGCCAAAAATTACTTTGTGTTATGATGTTTTGTTCTGTTTTTCGTTACATTTCTGAAGCTATGTTTTAAGTAATTAATAATTTATTATATTAACGACATATATGATCATATGGCTGCGCAATTAATGATGAAATTTCAATAAAGCATTCATTGTGTTTGTACTTGTTATTTAACTTAATTTTAAACGAATAGTAAGAACTGAAACTTACCTGGCCGCAATTGAATTGAACACAAAGAACATTGAAAAAATAATCAGGAATAGTTTCTTCATTGTTGTGATTATAATTTAATATGTTCGTATTTATCTCTTTGATTTGCGTATTTACCGCAATTCTTCGGTGTCTTTATCCTTGTGTAGGATGCGAGTGTGAGAACACAAATGCGACGAACGGTACAATAACTGGTTATACACCATAGAGTTGCTATTATAGGTATAATGTTCGATATTAGGTAAGAAATTACTTTAATATTATTAATTATACGTCATCGAACACATATTGTTTTTCAAAATAGTATCGTAATTATATTCTTGTCAGTAAATTTTTTATCTGTGTAAAAACATGTTTGGTAGTTACGTATAGATCCTGTTAAAAACTACCAGTATTTTTATTACAGATAAGTGATTTTATCAGCCTGTTTTTTTTAAGTAGTATTATTATTATATTTAGACAGATACTACGACACCGAAGGAAAATACTCTTCAGATATGGCAATACACAACTAATACCCAATAGTTTATTTATCTGTGCCAATTTTATTATGTAATTGAAGACCATATTTTTATCATTTTAAAAGATTACAAACATCTAGTACAAAGAAATTAATGAAATATATGACTTTATTGATCACCAAATATTTAACACAATAGCCAACTTAGGAAAGGACGTCTATTACACTTTTATGATATTATAATGGCGAAGGACAAAAATGAAGGATTTTCAACTTTTTATTTATGTAAAATCGCGCATTATTTGTAATAGATTGTGACACAACAAGCTTGGGCCATGAAGAGTGTCATTTCACGTGCTTGTCCATAACCAAGCTCATTTCAAACTTCAATGGTTTTAATACCTGATTCTGTAAATACCCACCAGGTAACATCTTTCGTGGTATCATTCTTAGAGACATATCAATGGAGACAAATTAAACAATCAATATTACTTCCTTAATTTTATTTATGCAATTTAAATTATTTTACAACAACAAAGTACCTATTTCAGTTACCAAAAAATAACAAAATTAATATAAACTATATATCCAGCCTTGGTTAAAAAGGTAAGTATGCGATTATTTTTCTTCTCTTAATCATCTTTTCGGTCTCTTAACCATCTTCTTTTCCTGGTCTTCAGAGATGCGTCTCTATTTACTGACGTGAATATGGTTTTCATTATTTTTACCTTGTCCAACAAAAACAAACGTATGTGGTACGGATCCTGAACTGGTTATTTTTTGGTGGTAGCTCGATGAAGATGACTGAAAAACACAAGTAGTGATAATCAACATTTTGTTCTGGGGTAACAAACATGTACTATATAGTATATGGGATATTGGACATAAGTAGCATTTTAGTGTGAAATTGTATCAAGGGCGTCTGAGTCGTTGCGTCTCTCTATATATATATATATATATATAAATAGTTTAATAATTTAAACTGCAATCGCTACGTAGTGGGTTAGTATTGGTATATTTCTTTACTGTCTCATTACAATAATATTTCAGTAACAAGACTATTACGAATATTAAGACCAAACAAGTGCTGTTTCATCTGCTAGAATGTTAGATTATGCATAACATTTTTTTGTGGTTATTATTAATACTTACAGAATGGCTACTGCTTGATTCCTCAAAGGTGAAGTCTCGTTTATTTCTCAATAACTGCAAAAATAAGAAAAGTTTAAAATGAATATAGGGGTAGTTTTGTGATTTTAGTGACCGCACCGTTTTCTTTATAACTCTGTGACCGACAAGGAAAACGCAAACTTAACAGAGGTTTATTGAACTTTTTTGGAACAGGTAAATTGCAGTGAAACATGTTTGCAAAAAAAGACAAGGCCAAAAATATAATACGAAATTTACGAGCTTTAATAAAACTCTCCCCCGCCACCAAAATTTTACTTTTTCATAAAGCATTCTTAAATTCAAAATAAATATTCTTCCTTATATTATAATAATATAATTTGTTATAATAGGAATTTAAAACGTATCAATGTTTTTAATATATCAAAGATGTCGCAGGCATTAATAGTGAAACTTACTAGGGACCACTTGTAACGTTATCTCTTGAATTAAAAAAAAATACTTACATTACTATCCGAATTGTCGGGGCTGAAAACAATAAAAATTCTCTAAATAAAGTTTATTCATAAACAAGCGAAGTAAGAAGATAATCTTTTCTAAGGTACATGTATATTTATTTGATGATATTAATTCGTAAAAGAAAATCAAAACATGTTCAATTAAAGATGGCTATTCAAAAATAGTATTTCATTATTTATATGTATATCCATCAGGATTGCACCGATGATGAGATAAACTGTCACCCCTAACATGGTCACATTTGATGATAAATAATTGATATATTAGATAAATAACAAAGACAATAAAATATTCAATAAATAATTTAACATAATTCCGTAACACTTACCCGGACATTGGTTTTGCACTCAAAGTGTTTATCACAAATAAAATTGATATCGCTATTAAAAGTAGTTTCTTCATTGTTGTGATTTCTCTAAAGTGTAATCGAATCCAATATTGTAACTTTATCCTTGTGCAGAATGCGATGGAGATATCGCAAATGAGTCTTGTAATAAAATAACTGGTTATAAGTAGCGTACACAAAGTACGCACAGTAAATAAAATGGATGTATAAAAATACTTTTAACACATGATTTGCAAATCAAAGTTTTTCAACAGATGGCGCTACTGTAATGTCGTTGTATGCGCTTGCATTTTTTGCAGTTGTTATTGTGACCTAATTCAACTCACGATAAAGCTGTAACGACCCTTATAAAGATAATTAATCTAACACGTGTTGACAAATCCATAACTATTCACTCTTATAATCTTACAAATAAGGAAAATGGTAGTAAAAAAATATCTTCACTTTTTTTATATATAATGGAAATATGTACACAGGCAACTGTTATTATTATACGAAAATAATATTTTCTGAATACCATTTATTGTATTAAGAAAAAGGCAGACAACTATTGACACTATTTAACTTATCTGCCTCATGTCCTTGTTAGTCTCTCGCCAGCAGATCACTTGTCCTGGTTTGAATTCTGAATCAGACTTAATGTTAGTATTATTTTATTCAAAATTTTCACAAAATATCAAGTACTAGCTCAGAGCTTGGAAGCCAAGCTTACTATCACCCATGTGCTTTTGAGCGAACGATAAGTCATCTAGTGCAGAGCCAGCCAGCCAGTTCATAATATAAGCCAGTCCCTACGCTGGTGGAGCATGGTGTATTAAACTCTTAAGATTAAACTCCTTCTCGAATGAGAGAGGTGACTGCGTCCAGGAGTTACATATTAAAAGGTTAAAATGAGTTAAACTAATAAAGTTTTAAGTGAATATATCAAAATATTAAATTTTTTGACTATCACTAGAATAATATCGATTTTAGGCTATGTACGGATCTGAAATAATGAAACACAATTAATGTTTTTTTCTTTATTATAAAACCTAAACATAATAGTCTTCAGTCTATTTAAAATGGCGTACGGTTAACTAGAAACATATAGCATAGTTGAAATATTTACAGATAACTTTTGTGATTTTAATAAGTCAAGTCAATTTCCCTTTAATATTCTAGGATGTTTCTTTTGTTGGTCTTAGTCAAAAGCTTTTAGTTTTCATTGACATAATGTTATTTTCCAGTGTAAATATGATTTTGATTTCCTTTTCCTTGCCCGACGAAGACAAACGTATAGGGGACATTACCAGTGCTGGAGAAACTTCGATGGTAACTTGAGGACTGTGACTGGAAATAGAAAAAAATAGGTTATTATTTATAAAAAAAAAAAAATACCAAGTGAATCTAATAAGACCCAGACTTAAGTGTATGTCAGGAGTATAAGCAAGCATGGATATTATATGTGACTCTACAAAAAATTGACTTTGGTCATTCAGTAATACAGACTGAAACACGAAGTTCGATTTTTGATTTCGAAGTGGGTATTGGTCAATTTTAATAACAAACAAACATACAAACAATAAAAATCCTTTTTTTATTTTGTATTTGTAAACATAAGTTTTATATACCTAAGTATATTTTAATAGATAACATAAGATATTATAGAAATATTCAAAAACATATCATTAATATGGAATCAAAACTATGTATATTGGGATATATTATGTGAAATTTATATATTATATTTTTTATTATAGAGGAAAGGTATTGATGGTAGGTGGCTTGAACCAGCTATAGCATCGAAACAACATGTGCTGTCGACCAATTTTGATGTTTCGTGGACGGTGGTTCGTGACCCGTAATTTAGACAGTCCTATTTAATGTCCAGATTTGCAGATGAAGTCCAAAATGTATTCAGAAAAAGTTGAAACCGTTATTTTTATTAATTTATCGATTAATAAGTACAAATCTTAGGCATTATTAATATAATTGTATGTGTACATTTAAAGAGCCAGTTCAGAACTTTATTTTTTATATTTGAAATTACAAAAATATATATTAGTACGATATATGATACTTACGGAGTGGCTACTGCTGGATTCCTCAAAGGTGAAATCTCTTTTCGTTCTTAATACCTGGAAAAAAAAGTATTATTATTTTGTGTTGGGAACACTGATTAAAGACCGGGTGATCTGTTAAAAAGTTTTAAAGTGTTGACAATTATACTAACTTTCCCCACCGGGGCAGAGGGGGGAAAGTTAGTATAATTGTCAAATTATAAAATAAGTTACTAGATTTGTATAATGTATATTGTACAAATCTTTGATAAGTGTAATATGAGCAAGATGGCATTATATAATTGAAAAATTCTATTTAGATTGCGCAAGAGGTGCATGTGTGTATCAATAGTTTCATGACGTATAGGACTCGGTATCTCAATTGATTTGAAAAACAGCACGGTAAGCTGTGGATGCCAGTTCATGTCCCATCCATGTAATTTTTTAATCTAAATACATTTTTAATTTACAAAGCCTTGTTATTTATATTATTGATTTTTTACTTTGCAATATTTCTTACTTTACTTCTACTTCCTATTAGGAAAAAAATTCAGGAAAGGAGGTTTGTTGAACTTTTTTGAACCGGTTAAATTACATATAAACTTGTTCGTAAGCGTGAATGCAAGTACGAGAATAAACTTAAGTTTTATTTCAACGTAAAGAGATCGAATATTTTAGTACAACTCAACGCAAATGATACATTTTATAAAGGTTAATATTAAAAAATACGTTTCGATTGTATTTTGTTTTATAATTAATCATGTCAAGATTCTTTAGCAAAGGTTACAGGAAAACATTTAGAATATCTTTACATGTAGAAATTTGATGACTCATAAATAACTCAACAAAATTATAATGTTAAAGTTGAAATTGTATCTCAGTTGGTTTTGTGAAGGCAGATTCTTATCTTATGTCAAAAAAGTCTATATACCTGGTCGATTATATCCTCCTTATTGACTGCATCTTGATTCCTAAAAAAAAATGCAAAAGTATAATTACTTCATTGATTGCCTATTGATATAATCTATGTCTATATTAATGATGTCTGGAAATATTTTGGTTGTTTGGAAAGTAAAAAAAAAAAAGTAAAAAGTAAAAAGACTTTTGCGTGTCGTTTTATATTTGAGATTCTACAGCGGAACGTCACAGTAGAACCACCTTCATATAAATATTAAAAAAAAAACAAAAAGACGTCTTACATAACTAAACAATTATTAAATCTAATGTACATTTACACCAATGTTATGCCATATATACTCCCTCCCCCTCCCTAGCCATCTGAGGGCTACAATTTCAGAAAATCTTATCAGTTGTGTACATTAAAGACAGAACTCACAAGTATCAGAACCTAACAATCAGTGGAACAATCATATATAAGCTTTATATATTTATAAATATAATTTTTGTTAATTATGATAATATAACTTACTCGATCGACGGTCTTGCTAGAGCCATTGTCACCATTACTACAAATATGAAAGACACAAAAATCCCCGAATTCATTTTAAATGTTTATTGTTTATTAAATTATAAAGAATAGCAAAAAAGCGTCTTATCGGAAGGAAAGAACGACGTTCACTAAAACGTTAAAGTCTCAGTATAAGAACTACTTATACGATAACGAGTCGAGAGATCGCTTTAGTATATTTTCGTTTTTATCTTAATTATAATTAACTGTATATGAAAATGTCCGTTTTAAAGTATATAAAAACACCTTTATATAGGACTATTTAGTCTGTATATATTTTATTATACAGTTCAAAATACTGAGCCGATTTTAATGCATGAGATATCAAAAGATTCGTTATTATGACGGTTTGATGGAAAGGAAAATTAAACCTTGGGAGAAATATATAAAGTTTTCTCGTGCGTCGTGTCAAAAAAAAACCTATTACAAAAATTCATATACATAATATATACATGAGAAAATGATCTTTATATTTGTCTAGATAAATTCTGATTCTTATTACGTAATAAAAATGAGAATTACCATGTCTCACTTCTGATGACTTAAATTTTTAATCCTACATAGGACAATTTTAATTCTTTTAAAATTTACTTTGAAATTGGTGATATGGATTTTTTTTCTGTTTAAAACAAACTAGATATTTTGGTATTCCTGTTGCCACGTCTTTAATAAGTATTTAGAGAAACACCACGAATCGCTTTGATCGTCCGTTCGATTCCCGTCCCAGTTAAATAAGCTCTCATGTAAACTGATATTGGAAAATTAAAAATTAAAAAATGTTAGAAAGATATATTTTTTGTAGTAATAATTATCATTTTCTCTATTTAAGCAGTTACTCGCCTAATTCTGGTAGTGGTAAGAGGTTGGACTTGGAATCTGAACAAAATTTCTTCCGGGTCACGTACCACCCTCAGATGAAAACACCACCGTTCGGTTTCAGACTGTGGATTTCCGAATATCCATAGCATTAATACTTGTAGATCGCCAGCGCATCTATTGATGATGAGAAGTTATATGGCTGGGGAATTTTATCTACCTTCATCATACCATCATGCTTCATGCAAGTAATTTAAAAATGAAAATACAATTTCGATATTTTTTCTTTATTTCAGTATCAGTCATTTATATATCTAAAATACTTAGATGTTTACTGTTGATACCTGATTCTTACTTACTGCTTATATACAATCTTAGCTAAGGTAAGAAGGTAACCTCTTATAATAAAAAATAATTAATGATTGGGGTGAGTGTACAGCAAGCCTTACAAATTTAAACTTTAAATTTAAGTTCGCTTACATCACCCGAACACCGACATATAAGTTCATAATAACTGAATTTAAATAATTACTTATCGTCTATAGTTTACATGAGTAGTATACATTTAAATAAAAACACTTTTGACGGTTTAAAACGCGAAATATATTATTATTTACAATTTATTTTAACTCGTATGCTTTGTACCTTTAACAATTTTTTGCATTTTAAACCGTTCAAAACATTTTATTTGATATAGTTAATTTTAGTAGTTATAAACTCAACATAGATTTTATTGACATTCATATTATTATAGTAAGCTACCTTTATAAACGATAAAACATTAGGTGTAGCAAAATGTGTAGCTGGGTTTTTAGATTCTATTATTGGTTAATAGCAGGTCAGATAAATAAATTAAAAAAATTATACTTATAACGTCTTAAAGGAGGTGAATATGTTTGCATTTCTATTACAATACGTACAAAATTAGTCATAAAGTACATTTATTTAAAATGCACCTTCTTAATAGATCAATTTAAATACTGATACGTGGTAATGTTATTAAGTTAATACGACACAGTATGTGTTATATGAAGTATAAAAAATAATTATATCAAACGGCGGGATTTAAAAATACACAAATTTTTATTATTAAAAAAAAATTGATAATGATTGATTTTTTTTAACACATTTCACACCGAACAATATATTATAAAAACAATTTGGTATAATGATCTTTTAGGCTAAAAATTGCTTAAATCATAAATTAAACTTAGGTACATGAAAACTCTTTATAAAAAGCTTTAATTCGAAATTTAAAAGCTAGTTTCAGATTCAGATAAGCCATATTGGTTTTATATAATAACTTATCTTGTATGGATATAGTTCTTGTTTCCATTTCCATTGCCCACAATTATGATCTTCACGGGACTCGAACCTGAACTTTTGTAACTATAGCTGTAGCTCGATGACGACGACTGAAACAAAAAATAACCTCTAATGATGTACAAATTTAGATATGACGTCACTCCGGTTCTAAGAAGCAAATTTGACTTTAATAGCCCAGTGTTTGGTAGTGAAGATTCTCACGTATAGTATATTAGCTGCACCCGCGACTTTGTCTGCCTGGAATAGCTTGATTTGTGCAGCAAAATTTATTTTTGCAAACAACCTCCTCAGCTTTGTAAACCATAGCTGTTACCCATGACGTCGTCCGCGTACACTTTTTAAATCATTTTAAGCGTAATTATTCTTTCATACATTTTTTAGTTTCTTGAACCATTTTCACATCGCAAGCAACGAAAGCCCTCAAAGATGAATAATTAATAATTTTCCCCATTTTTCACAGCTTCTTCACTTCTTTGGTTACAGCGTGATGTTATATAGCCTAATGCCTTCCTCAATAAATGGTATATCCAACACAAGAATAACTATGATAAGTTCTAGGGCAGGTATAAGAGTTTTATCAATTGCATTTTACTACAGGAATTGATTTCTGAAGAAAGTTTTGCCCTTGGACTGCTCTGCTTTGCTGGCTCATTGGTTAATTTAACTGCTAAGAGATCATCAGTCGGGCTGGGCTATTTATTATTAAGGATACAAACAGTTAAGTGACTTTACCAGCAAGATTGGTGGACTGAGTAATATTTTAAGTTAACTCACCTGTAACCCGTGTATAAACGAAAAAATATTGTACTTTATAATTTAACATGACTTACGTAACTATGGCTGCTTGACTCTGACCAAGAGTACGACCACGAGTCTCGTTTGCCCCTTCGCAACTATAGTAAAAAATGAAATATGCTTCAAAATGTTTCTTATTTAATTGAAAGTCTTTTAAAACATTATTAAAATACTGGTTTCGCTCATTGGTTTAGTCAAGCGCAAGAGTTCTTTACACTTACCTGGTATTAAAATTTTTCAGTAAAACGAAAAAATTAGTCTTGTGAGAGACAATGAGAATATATGGCTTGTTAATGTTCTTATCTAAGTAAGGATGCATAAGTGTATCGTATGGTAACTTAGCAAGAGACTAGATATACACTTTAATAAGCTAATTAATAAACATACCTGTGTTTCAGGATCTACTTTCACTTCGCCCCCATTTTGGGTGTTATTTTGTCTGAAAACGCAAGGATTTTACAATTTAAACTGATACAGAGATTAAAATAAACACTTGTTAGTAAACAATACAAAATACTTACTCGGTCGGCCTCGAATCTGCCAAAGAAAGTAAAACCAACAGTATTGCAGATAGCAAAAAGTGTTTCAAATCCATATTTGTTGATATTCTACTATTTTATTGTAAGAGTTTCCTCGTATTCGCCGTCGGAGCGTTGAATATTGACTGGTTTTTACGCCATTTTATTATGCCCCTTGCTATGCTGTGGTCAGAAATACCTATACGTTACCTGACGTCAAAAATCTGAGCGTAAAGTCATAAGAGCGTAAATGTATCTTTATCTATATTCTCTTCGCATAATAAGGAAACGAATTACCTACTTATACAGATATGCTTCATTTTACATATTATATAATGTTTATAATTTAACTCAAAGTTTGTATAAATGAACTGCACATTCCCATGATAGATATCTTACTTTATTTTCAAACAAGGGTTGCCTGGAAGAGATCGCTCTATAACGATAAGACCGCCTATTGCACTACATAACTCTTAATATTTTTTCCCTTGTATTATTTTATATTTTTAAGACTATTTTTAACATATTTGTATATTGTGTGTGTTGCAATTACGAGTTAAATAAATAAATTGTAAAGCTATTAGATTGGATGTATAGACATGGTACATTGTTATTTCTAGGTTCGAGGCCTGGTCCAAACAATTATACAGTTTCGTTTTATACTAGTCGCACCTGTTAAATCTTGAGATGGCTATAAAACAAAATAAAACAAACTCGTTTCAACAATTTTAATTAAAACAAAGATAGACAATTAAACTACTATTAATACTTTCGCTCTATCAAAAATTAATTGTATTGTGATTATTATTTCCAAATCCCACGAAAATTATATTCGGTAGTGCTCCAGTGCCCATAATTTTCCGTACATAAGATGTAGCCGACGTTTGCTGTAACATGCGAAACATACATTTATATACATTTTTAAATATAATTAAAACACTATTAGTTTCAAGTAATAAAAATACTTACAGCACTTTTAATTTGGTTAAAGTACTCCTCTATTGAATATTGTCGTTTTTGAATGTTGTGAGTCTAAAATAAAATTTCAAGGCTATATTTATTTTAGAATAGCAACCAAATTACATATAGGAATATTATTTTATCTGGAGGCGATTCACAAAGAATTTGCATTGTGTGTGAAGAGTAGCTGAATTGAATGTTAAATAAGTAAAAAAAAAGGTTTTTTTCACATGCACAGCATATAAATTAAAAATCTATTTAAATTGAACAAATTTAACGATACGGGTGGGACTTGAACCGACTTTTTCAACTCAATTGGTTACAGCAGAAGCAAAGAACCCTGCAAAACCGGGTTCCTCACCTGTGTCATATTTTGTCCAATCTAAATAGATAATGTTTATATCTTTGCCCGCAGATTTAACTGAAAGATATCATACCGTTTCGAGATGTTCCACCGGGTGATACCTCTTATTCCTGAAAAATAACTTCACATATAAAACCGTTACACACGCAAAAAATAAGAATGCAATAGTACTCTTACACTAAGGCAGTTTCAGCTAAAACGCTGCAAAGGAAAATGAAGAAAACAACAGCCTTTCTAATTTTCATCGCACTGGTTTTATGTATTCTATGTTTATTTTAGAAGTCACTCAGAGGTCTGCTATGCGGCGCAATTGATTTTAAATAACAGTAAGGAAATAATATATTATTATAGACATTTACTTATCAGTTCGAATTAACGTACGAGGATCGCTTGCGCATGAGCGGCGTTGAAGTCATAAGTCTGGTCTTCAAACGTCTTGTGGTTAACAATATTAATATTAATTAATTGTTGTTCATTTATTTATACAATATTGTTAATTATAATTTCTGAATTCAAGTTTGGTTTACACAACTTAACGCAAAACCGATCCGTTTCCGTTTTTACTGTAATTTGTCTAATGATAACCTAACCGCACTAGTAACGTACTGGTAAAAAATAATGGACGTTTATGAATGTATTCAATTGTTTATTTATAGATAAAAAAGAATATAAATTTTAAGTTTATAGTACCAAAAAAGAAGAAATAAAATCATATTTTAACATATTTCTACTTAATATAGCAACGGCCAGATGTTTAAAATAAGTTAACGAATTATATATAACGTGCTTAAACACGTTTAAGCACGTTATATACATTAAATGTGTACTACTCGTGTGAACAATCAATACGTTATTTTCTACTATGCATTACTAATTCAAAGATGTGAACGATTGTCGATTTCAGTTAGAGAAATATTAAATTTGAAATAAAGTCTATGTGAATCAAAAATCGATTTTTGGATTAAAATTTTGACGGGGCTGGTATTGGCATCCATAGCGTTCCGTGCTGTTGCTCTAACCAATTAATCAATAAGCGCAGAACGGTTTCTGCGATTATGTCGGTTTTTGACGCTTGGTTGACAAGGCGCCATGGCTTTTTATCTTTCCGTTTGGTGCAGCTGATGGGACTGGGCATGGTTCCTTTGGTAGGTACTTGTGTCGTATTGGTAAAAGGCCTAATGCTGCATGCCACCATTGCAGTAGTAATGACGATTCTTCGGAGCATAGAAGCTTGTCCTGCTTGGTCTGTTGAACGCAATGCCCTTTGTGCCGTTGTTCGGTGTTGTTGAGCGGAGGCCTCTCCTTACCGGCATTTTTTCAATCAAAAAACTTATTTTTTATTTAAATAATGTCATCATGTGAAAAATATTAGTAAGTTTTTAAATGTCCATATTGACATGAGATTTAATCTGGACAAACAACGCCTACGTAAATATCTGGAAAATTTGTTTACATACTGATTCTGTTATATCATAGATAATAATTTCGTAAATGCAGAGCGACCTAGATTTAATATCTCAGTCCTTCGCGGTATTTTAAGGATAATAGGATGGGCTGTAAAATGTCTCGCTTTATATTGCTTTTATTATCCTGTGAAATTAGATTCGGCGATGTTGTCGTTTTATGAGATTGCAAACAGTTAGTCTAATCGCTATTTGATAGCCGCTATTTATTTACGGGTTGCTTTGCAATAAACAGGGATGACGACAACAATCAGATGGGTGATAAATGTTTGAAACTCTGTCTACAGGTCACCACAATCGTTTAAGATTTTCTTCGTAACTTTTAGTATCGGTAGATCGGTAGTCTATAACAACTGACCAGGCCCATTGGTACAATGCCTGCTGAAACCCGAAAAATAAAGTTAGTAAATAAATTAAGAATAAGTTAGATAGGGCTGTAGGATTTTAATATCCATAAAGTAAACCTCATGTTTGTGCCTCGTCCTTGAGAGTCTACAAACTTTTTATTCTCTCAAGCAAACGGCGAAATACATTTATTTAGAAAAAACGAAAGCATTGTGTTAACGATCCCCAAGGAAGATACAAATACTGTAAGAAATATTTATGGAGGTTTTTCGGAATGGAATCCCCAGAAGGTGCTGGTACGCGACGCGCTGCCTGTAAATACAGGAAAAACACGTTACAGATCCCTCGCCACACATAATTCTTAATACTCGGATTACCGAAGGCTTCTTTATGCTTTAGACAAAAAATATAACAAGCAATTAGGTTATCCCCATAAATACGCTTTTCCTCGAGATTTGCAATACTGATTTCACAATTTTATTAGCGTTATTAAAAAAACAAATTTATTAGACGCCGTTCGGCAACGGGGAGTCTTGAAACTTGTTTTTCTTTATGAGAATTTATTGTTGTGTAGTTTTTTGAGGTTATTTAATTGATCGCTTATATTTCGACGGATTATTAATAATTTAAATTGTAAATCAATTTTGAAGGAGATTTACTTATTAAAATTTTGTTTATGATGTGTAACAAAATTGTGAGCGGCTTCGCGTTGATTCAATTTACATATCCTAGATGTTTGTCTATTTTAAATGTATTAATATGTGCTACGAGGCTTAATGGTTAAGGGTATCTCTATTGCAGAAGGCGCGAGACGTCTTTGATTGGAAAAGAAATAGTCAAGCAAAGCTAAGTAGTTTGTTTAACTGAATCTTCACGAAGAAGGTACCAAGCAGACGGAGAGGTAAATGCCTTCCTACCTTACCTAGTAATATAGTAATATAATGCTTCAATTGGTATAAGTATAGTTTTTTACATTTATAAGCGTGCAAAAGTATCTAATGCATCTGAATAACCTTTACAGACATTGAAAACTTAGTTCCAAATCAACGGCTTAATTAAGTAATGGATCCTAAGGGTGTAATCATGAAGGGCTACTCTTAATTAATTAATGGCCATCCATCTTTCTCCTTAACTTCTATATATGATAAGTTTTAAACGTTTGAATATTTGACAGATCGATTAGAATTATAAGGAAAACTGTTGATATTAATAGACGGCACGTCAAACCATTTAATCTCTGAACTAAAGCGTAGCTAAATAAACGAGTGATGGCACTAAATAAAAATCGAGCACGGTACGCCGTGGATGCCAGTTCAAGTACTGGCCGTGTCGAAAAATTTACATAAATCGATTTTTAATTTAACTAAATAAATTTTGCCTTTTTTCATAAAATGGTTATCATGCCCGGAGAACGCGTTACTAGTCTCAGTTATTATCTCTTACTAGTGACGATAGCGACCCCTTTAATTAAGTCAAGATATCAAGATAATATCAAGAATCAACCAAGCAGGTTGAGTTTCAGATTTCTAAGTAAATAATGCATTTTTTCAGTCTTCATTCCAAGAATTTGTTGTAACATTTATTCTTGAAACTTTAAAATAGTTTTTACATAATAATTATTAAAACAGCACTTAATTATTATTTGTAAAAATGCATTTCTTTATAATAACAAAAATTAACCCCGTATTTTCGACCACAGCGGTGGGTGAAATGAAATGCCTCCGAAAGACAAATAAGCATTGTTTTACGGCGGATTATTCCAACGTAAAATTAGAGACAATAAAGAAATTGAGGCTCAGTAGCATTTATTCGGAGTTTTTAATACCTACCCCCGCTGTAAGAGGACGGAAGCGAAAATTTTAGCTTTTTAATGCGGCAATTTTTTGTCGTACTTACTCTTAAAACAAAGCCTAATGACCCGCACGGCACGCATTTGTTCGCGAACAATTCAAATAGGCAATTTTTCATGTAGAACAATTGAGGGCGGTTCTGGAGTACAATCGCTGGAGTATTTTACGATTGTCGTACGGACCACGTACGACAATCGTAGCTCGTGACTACATCGAGTGTTTATTTTGCCGTTTAAATTAATGTTCTATTTATCCGATGTAATACCTTTAGCGGGGATGTTATGCAATGATAAAAGGGATTATTTACTTTTTATAATATTATGACAATTGACATTAGAGAAATGTCATAAATATCAAATGTCATAAATTTGTTTTAGAATTTTCTGAATGTAATTCCAACAATTTTTGAAAAAAAAAATGAAACATTTTGTCTTTGATTTCAGGTTTATTCGGCCCGACGTTTCGGATGCTTTGCAGCAGCCGTGGTCTCCCCGTGACGTGAAGTTAAAAATCATTTTCAAATAAGTTTAACTAATATATCGCGTTTTAAACCGTTAAAGTATTTTATTTAAATGTGTATACTCGCGTAAACTATAGACAGTATTTACTCGTATGTAGTTACTTGATAAAATAGCCGTGTTGATCTAGGGGCATAATTGTAAAGTCCGGATTGAATTCTCGGCTTTGCACCAAAATATTAATGTTTTATACACGTGTGAAGGAAAACGCCTTCATAAACGGGAACGGCTTGGAATGGGATTTTCAAAAATTACTATTTATGATGATGATTCGACAAACGAAAATACAATTAAAGGAACCCCCAAAAATGTCGACAATAAAATATCCGCGCGATAAATATTTCTATGAAACGGTTATTGTATTTATTATTAACCATGACTATTGTCCGCGTCGGTAATAAAATCTCGCCTCTTATGATTTTCATGGGGCTGCCTCGGCTGAAAGAAGCGCAGTGGAATTTTTCGTTTTATTTTATGATGGCGCGTACTGTCGCGGAGAAATATTGGCTCAGCGGAATAGCTCGTAAAGGAAATGGCTTCGGTTACGCACCGTAGTCTTGCCTGCGGGCTCTGAAAAATTCTTCCCAACTATTTTAAGACTAATGTCACTTGTCACTAACCTACCAACATTCTCTTAAAATAATATTTAAAGTCTGATTAGGAATCGTTAGTCTTTTGGTGCAATGTTTGGCTAATAATCAACGGCCCGATATAACCCGATGAGAATTGAACCCACGAATCGATAAATTATAAGTTCGTAAATAACATGGAAATCTGGATATTAAAGGCGTGGCAGGAATATAGCGACTTCCGTCCGGGTCGCGAACTACAATCAAGAGATGACAAATTCATTATATCTATATCATATATATCTACTTTGGATTCAATCTGTAGCTTTCCGAATATCCAAAGGAAAAATTGATCGAAATTGTATCTTGTATTGCCATTGTTATATGCCTTATACAGGTTTTCAAGTACAAAAATGTCTAATGTATTTAGATTTTCCTCATGTGCATTACAGCACGAGAGCTTATATGCATCGTATTATAGAAATGTTCACTTTCATTTATTTAATATAGAAGTGAGTGACATCATAGCGTTGGATTTAGTTAATTTTTTTCTCTTAAAGTACGTTGTTGAGGTAAATTCTTATTTTCTCTTGCTTAGTAAATAACCATTCTTATCATCTGCGTATAAGAGTTATATTACTAAGTTACACTATTATCCTCCTTCTTAATTACCGGAAGTGGGCAACACTGTAGACGTAAATATTAAAATTGGCATGAATCATAACTGCGTCATTAGGAACGTAGAGATCGAAAGCGTCATACTCTTGGCTCGACGTTGATTAAAATTTCATGCAGGTATTAGCTTTGGAATCTCCACTTTTGTGAATCCATTTCGGGCTATCCGATCTAGCTATAGCTCCAATTGATACCAATAAATTCAGTTCCACGGCGAAGCTTCATTCGTTTACGTAAACTTTGAGATTCACTCTAACAAGGCTTGGAGAGGCAGAGCGCTCTGGTGATTTCTACTCTTAAAATCCAATTTAAATGCATTCCCCTGTACCACAAGAGACCGCCGATACGCTTCGGGGACCAATTAACTTATTCATCCTTAACATTTCATTGCTCAAGTTTAGTACCAATTTCGTGATGCTTTCATTTAGTCATTTAATGACTGCTAGTTCTTATAACTTGACTACAGCTTAAGTAAAATCGTGGAAACTTTAATATTTTGCCCATGATGGCACTATATAAATAATAAATCGATTATAAATTTTTAAAAAATACTTAAAATATTGCGCGAGAGGTGCATGTATGAATAAGTTGAAAGAATTCGACCGTAACGTGACCGTGTAGGACTCGGTATCTCAATTGGTTAGAGCAACAGCACGGAACGCCTTGAATGCCGGTTCGTGTCGTGCCCGAGTCGTAAATTTCAATTTATAATCAATTTACTATTATCAGGTGAAAGTTAACTAACTATTTTCAACGATTAAGACATTATTTTACTATATATATAAGATTTTTTTAACCCCTTGGCGTCTAAAGCTTCTAACGGCAGGGCATCAATCCATGGAAAGAAAAAAGTGATTAGTGAAAGGTAATTATTTCCTTTCAAGGTTTCTGCTATGAGGCAGGTGCTTTCGTATATCTACAAATCTCGGACTTGATTTTCTAAAGCTTTCTTTTCAAGCGATTAAATGTAACTAAATAATTATGGATGCAAGTTAATAAACATTAAAACTTCCTTTAGAAATAGCAATACTCGCAGTATTTTAATTCGAGTTATCGCGTCTTAAAAGTCATTTAAAGTGCAATCTAAAAATCGTAATAGAATCGTTCACTAAGAATTGTTATAAAGTGTAATGGGTTCAGGTGAAATTAACGCAGAAAAATAGGAAAAGTTACAACGAGTTTCCCGCTACGGCTTTCCCGACAGCAGCATTTTGATTGTACACTGTTGAATTTATAATGCTATTCGAACTTCACTTCATCGAAAACTTTCGAAGCACGGAGTCCATACATTTTAGTTGCTTGAAATAAACCTCTAAATCTCTACCACATGTCACAGTGTAATAAAAACAATAGTACAACTATGTACTACAACACAGATAAACTTTATAATTGCGATTAAATTAAAGAATATAAAAAAAAAAAAAAAGAAGGGGAAAAAAAAAAAAAAAAAAAAAAAAAAAGGGGGGAAAAAGGGGGGGGGGGGGGGGGGGGGGGGGGGAAAAGGGGGGGGACACCCCCCCCAACCCCGCGGCCGAAAAAAAAAAATTTTTTAAAAAAAGGTTAAAAAAATTTTGCGCTTTTTAACCCGTTAAAGTGTTTTATTTAAAATAAAGAATATAATCGTGAATAAGCTAATGTTACATTAAAAAAAAACGCCCCTAACAACAAGGTGTACTTTACTATTAATAAGTCGCAGTTTAATAAAAAAACAGTAGTACCATCATATTGTAGGTACCATACAAAGATAAATTTCAAATAATTTTCTAAATTGTTATATAGCTATACGCGTATATTACACGCCATAAAACTCTCACAACAAATTTTATTAAACATTTCGTTTTTACCAGTTTGAAATTGCTTTATTAATCAACGATAGCGTAGCTTAGTAGATGACGTATTTGCACTTGGTACGGTCTTACTTAGTTAATTTATTGACAACGATTATACGGAAAAATAAACAAAATATTTATGTCAAAATGAAACTCTATAATAAAACTGAATTGGTGTATTTTTGTACAATTACCATTACGTTTAAAACCGTTACAAAACCAACGTGGATTGAGGCCAGATTAGTAATTTGACCAAACGTTTTCCTTGACAGAAACATGTTTTGAAAACTGCAATAAGACGTGTGTCATCGTAAACAAATGCAAACCAACCACAGGGAAACCACAACATCATTCTAATTAGAATGCTAATAATTTTGTTGCAATTAATTTAATAATTTTCCTTAACCACTCTTTAAAACGCATTTTCATGTTCTAGTCTTAAGCATTTTTTTATTTAGTTTTTAACTATTTTATTTTTAATTAAAAGTTAAGTTGGCCCTCCCAAAACCAAACAATCCTTCCACTTAACGTAATCGCGTTCGATGAGAATAGTTGACGTCTAGACAGACTAGTGAAAATTTTAGCTTATAAACTTTTAACCTTTTAAAGTGCGCAACATATTACTTAATAACTTTAACGGTTTTTATTTTTTTTCTACAACGAAATTAAATTGAAAGGCCTTTGTGTGTCACTAACGTAAACTACAGATAATACTCAAATAACATTGTATTAGATTGTTTTAAATATCTGTAATATCTAGATTTAATGAAATATTTTCTTTGTTTTCGTTGAATTATATGTATTATCGCGGGGTGATTGACTTTTGAACTATTTGTATTTATAATAAGCATTTTTGAATAAACACTTTAACGGATTGAAAGGCGATATATTAGTTAAACTTATTTGAAAATGGTTTTTAACTTCGGCGTTGACGTTTCGATCTCCCCGTGACCAAAGCTGTTGCAAAGCATCCGAAACGTCGGGCCGAAGTTAAAAATCATTTTCAAATAAGTTTAACTAATATATGGCGTTTTAAACACTCAAAGTGATTTATTTAAATGTGTACTACTCGCGTAAACTATAGACAGTATTTAATAAGCATTTTCCCTAAATATTCGTTTTAGGTTTTCAATTGGAAAACGAATATTAGAAATGGGTTTTTATAATTTTTTTTCTCTTTTGCTCGTAATACATTTCTCGGACCCTATTTATTTGTAAAGGATGCGATGACTCAAGCAGATTTGCGATTTATCTGTACGCCTTCTCAGGATTACTTTGCAAGTCTTTTATAGGAAGGAAAACCAGTATCATCACTACTTAAGGATATTAAAATCCCTTCTAAGTATCTGTATTTAGAGAGCTTGTTTTCTTCAGACGGTTTCACGTATTGAACGAATTTTAAAAGCTGCTTCTACTTCGTTATTTTTTTATTCTCTTACTAAAATACTCACTAAAACTTACATTATTAGACATATATTGTTTAGAGGCATATTGCTTATAATATCAGTATCAAATAACTACTGCAATTACATGTGTTTGTTCTTAGTAAAGCTATTTGAAATGTCGAGCTGTTCGGTCTACGACCATTTCGATCTGCATCGTTGGTGAAATGATTTTCGACGACGAAGAATATTTTATATCATCGTCAGGAGAAGCTGCTTGTTACTAGACATCGCTTCATTCAGACATTTCTCAATTACGACTGCCCAAAAGCCAAGAAACTTTGCAAAATAGGCCGCGAAATACAACATTATTATCGTTGATTAGTGAACTTTACTTCTTACTGTACTGTGTATGCGTCGTGATTCAATGAAAAACGCGTTGCGTTGCTTTAAGTAATAGTTCCTATAACTTTAATTTAAAGCATTGAAATGCAATGCACAAGAAAGCGTTATAACATCTTGTTGGACTTGATTAAAAAGGCAAAAGATAGTCATAGTAACCTTTATGCACCATTTTGTCTAGTAATCTCTTGATTGTTTTGCATTTTGTCTTTGAATATCAAGGCATAGTCATTATGTATGAAAGTTGAATATTATACCATCAAAAAAAATATCTCCGATAAACGCCCTCATAAGCGAATCCAATCCGAAAGCTTGTCTTAAGTAATGTACATAATATTTACTGTTTCATAACTTAAGCAATATCGTTGACACATTTAATTATTATCGAAATGTTTTATTATCAATCCGACCTTATTCTAGAAGCCCAAATAACAAGAAATTTATAATTGTCGTAGTCAAGACTCTGCAAGCATAGGCATATGAACGCTTAATTAAATTAAATTAAAATGTATAAGCTGGTGCTTTTTTCCCTCGCTCTGCTAGTCGTTGCTGCACTTGTTGAGGGTAGTCCCAGGTAAGAATGTTTAATGAAAATTGTTTAATTAATAATAACTTAATACAAAATATTGTGTGGAATTTTATATTAAATCTATCAACGAAACTCATCTTCTCTATGGCCTAGAAAAGAAAAGGACGCAGAGAAAGTCTAAAACCGTATAAAACCTTATGTATTCATTCATGTGCATTGGAAAAAAAAGAAAAATTAAAGAAATAATAAAAAACGATATATTTTGTTTTATAGGCAAGGCTGTGTTATAAATCAAATAAAATATTTTTTTTTTTGCTTTAACAGGCATCACTCGCGCCATGACAGCAGCAATGAGGTAATGTGAATTTTCTAAAATTTTCCAAACTTTAGGAACAATAATATGCCTTAAGTGTAAAAAAGAAACAAAATACCTTTAATTTATTTGTTGTGCTGCTGATATAACTTTCACTATTTTTTAATGATAATACGTTTCGAAAAAATATCTCTATGAATAGTTAACTTTTTTCTTCTTATTTTTAAATTAAAGCAGTTGTGTTGCAATCATTTCAAGAATTAGAATATTTTTAAAAGATTCTTATTTCGATTTTTTTTTTAAATATATTATATAAACAGATCTGTATCTACCTAAGACGTAACAAACCGCTTTTAAAAGCATCGTCTTTCTATTGTTCTTTTAGGTTATCGTAATTCAAGGGAATCATAAACTTAAATGTCAAGAGGATTCTTCATCGTCATCTTCATCATCTTCTTCATCTTCATCATCATCGGAGGAGGAGAATAAAGACTGTAACAGGGTACCTGTAGCATACATTGTTTTTTGGCTTTTGCATGCGTAGTCAAATATTTATACTATATCTGCAGTTTTAATTTTTATGTTTCTAGAATGAGATTCTGAATGGCATATAATTTATTATAGTAACATTTTAGTACATGATACCATGACACAAATTAAACTAGTTACAGCATCAGGACGGACCGCTGTGGATACCATTTCCAATATACAATAGATTTTTCATTTTCATCGTTATAATTTACCTCCATAATGTTAAAGTTTAGTATTTTAGTTAAAAAATAGTATAAAATTGCGAAGGAACACGCATATAATTTCATTGACTTAGCAATAAATCGCACTCAAATCCGTTATAGCGTAATAAGTTTCGAGATGTACGTAAACAATAATTCTCAGACTATGGAATTTTAGAGAACACAGAAAACACTCCAATTTATTTAGGAAAATATTCCCGTTACGGAGTTACTTCAAGCGATGGTGGATTGCGGCTCTAATGAGCAATAATGACGAAACTCCCTGCCCTACTTGACTTGAAACTTTCCGACAGCGGTGAGGATGTAGAAAGAGCTGTTAAAATATCAACTCTTCAAATTTATGTATTAATTACTAGTATATTCAATACTGTCTGTAGTTTACGTGAGTAGTATACATTTAAATAACACTTGAACGGTTTAAAACGCGAAATATATTAGTCAACCTTATTTAAAAATTATTTTTAAGTAGGTACGCCCCGAATTTGTATTGAATATGACCCGATTGGGGAAAGATAAAAATCACCTTCAATTTATTTAAATTTGCACATAACATTTGAATTTAAAAATTTGATTGGGATGTTTTAATTATAATTTTGCCTTTGATTATTTTTTTAAAAATCACAAGCTATATACAAAAGTCTACCCAGTGAATCGCCGAGACAAAATTTAGGAAGTTACGGCACTAATATTCTGCCACGAAGTGTACTCTTTTCAGCCTGTGGATTTCTGAATATGTTAAGTAAAAATAGGCCGTTCCTGTCATATTTATCTATTACAGGGACGGACACTATAATATATGAGTTCTCCAGCTTATAAGAATTTATTGAGGCATCCTATATTCACATCAAGACGAAAATTAAATATTTAATCGATGGTCACATTAGAAGGACAAATAACCATTTTGCATAATTATGATTTTGAAATATTTGAAACCATGTTGAAATTTTAGACTATCATAATCTGCGTTTATTGGGTGTGTTGTGTAACCTAATTGTAAACTTTCATTTTTTAAGGAAAATCCGCTCGATTTCTTGATGCGAAACGGCTATTTCTTTTCCAATTTTATAAATGGATATTTAATGTGTCTTAATATTCTTGTACAATAATTTATTTTTGTATCCGGTTTTTAACGAAACTGCAAAAATAGTGGTGACTATTTTATGGTCTTAAGTAAGTTTAAGTGCTTTATTGATGAGTAAGAACATCAATAAAAAACATACAAATGTATTAAAATATATCTTTTAAATAAAACACTTTAACGGTTTAAAACGCGATATATTAGTTAAACTTATTTGAAAATGATTAATTAATTATTAACTTATTTGATAATATATCGCGTTTTAAACCGTTAAAGTGTTTTATTTAAATGTGTACTACTCGCGTAAACTATAGACAGTATTTAAAATATATCTTGTTAGTATTAAAATAAAACTGTTTAAAACTGCAATAAATATTTGTTGATTTGGAAACAACTTAAATATTACTAAAATCATATTTCTAGATTGACATACATGATAGACATACTCGTATATATTTTTTGATTAACGTAAGTTTCAAATGAAATTCTTGTTAGAAACAAAGAAAAATATGAAGTACGTAATATCCTTAACTAAGGAATGTGAGGTGGTACAATAGTACTAGGGGAACAATAATGATTATAATAAGGAATACATAACACATTGTTAATAAAAATCATTTTACAGGGCCGGTATAAAGAAGATTCACATGATTCCTCATCTTCTTCATCGTCTGAAGAAGACAGTAATGAATCAAGACGCCATTCTGGACATCATGTTAGTATAATAATATATTTAAACACGAATTTTTTTATGAGAAAATTGCGCCTTTTCTTCATTTAGGGATATTTTAGGAAAATCTTTCCTTAGTGCACACGTTAAACTACAAAGGAAAAAGCATTTTATATGGTGTACGTTTCACTCATCCAATCAGACCAATATTAATTCTAAAATAAATTTTAAGTATTTATGTCTTAATAGAAGTTACACTTAATAATTTATTATTGATTTTAAACAACAGTTGGCATGATAGATTTCCTTCTATAAGATACAATACGTCTCCTAGAATCAAGAACTAAATGTAGTATTGGTGATTTATTTTTTTCTTTTTACAGCACAAAAAATCACAACATTTCAAGGACAGCAGAGAATAGATGGAGCAACTAATAAGATTTGTAGTTACAAGTAATAAATGCGACGAATCCTATTTTATTAAGTTGTTATGGAATAAAATTGTATTTTATCTATTAATAAAGTTTTGTTATTAAAATAAGCATTTCCTTGATGATTTTTCCATTTAACTATAAACATATAGAAATTACTATAATTGATGTTTCATGTGTACACATGACATTTTTACTTAATGAAACATTTACGTTACATATTAAAACTAAATAACTGGAGAAATATACGAAAATAACGTGTATATGTAATTAAATTTATTCGTTTCAACATAATATATAACAAAGATGCTACAAAGTCACTTATGAATATATTAATTATATATGAAATTCAAGTTCTAGGATAACTCTTTAAAGGTTTTGAGTTTCTAAAGAATTGAAAAGAAAGTTACGGTTCCAGTCATCAGAGTGCACCACCAAAGCTGGTTGCCATTTAAAAAGGCCTTTGTACCCGAATCTAAAATAAAAAAGAGTTGTGAATTGTTTGTATTGGGCGAGCGATTTTTTTAAGAAGGTGAACTTATCAGATATTACTCGTTCAGGTTTTATTGTGTTGTCAAAGAATTTATTACCTCTATAAGTAAGTCAGATCTTTTAACATGCATGCAGGGTGTATCTGTTCATAATAATAATAGTAAAGAAATGTCAATGTTTTTGACAGTCTAAATATTTGTAGATTTCATCAGAAGTGTCAAAACATTGTTGGTGATTTATTACGTTTAGCTCTGCTTTGAGTTATGGTATCTTATGCTGTAGAAGAAAAAAATCTACATACTTATAACTTGCGGCGCGTTTTTGCAAAGTAGCATATTACACGGTTGTACCGCGTTGTGCTACACATGCTAAAAATTGTGAAAATTATTGCAAAATTATCTTTGCCATCTTCGTCAATAAGTATGTGGACGTCTTGTTTTTTGTTTAAAATCACACTATGCGTCGTAGTACCTATATAAAATACGCTGTTTTGTTCGGAATGTCAGGTGAATCATAACCGGTCGGGTAATTTGCAGTTTGCTCTTTGAAGGCCAAAAATGTAATTGATACCACTTACGACTCAAATGTAAAACGTGTTACAAAAATCTACGCTTACTAATTTGAGTTATTTTTATTATATTTTGTACATATCTGATATTTGTTCTGTTATGGCACGTACAACGTGCATAGTACTTTTAATATCATTGAATCTAAAAATAGGAAGCTGCACAAACATGCATTAAATATAATTTTTAAGTCTATTAACCATTCCCACTTCTGGGAATCTTCTTGGGCCTACTATGCTAACTAAAGGCGTATTAGTATGTTGAAAGTCAGATGCCCTAGCAAATTCTACAGCGCAACGGAGGCTACTGAACTCATTTCGATGGTGGACGATGGCTAGTCTTGGGGCTCTCAGCAAAGATAGTCTATATATAATAGTTGGATAGTCCGTCGGTCCGTTAGTTATTCAGCACGTAGCTCTTCGGCCCACCCGCTCCCTCGTAAATCAAACCCGCCGTTCGCCATTCGCTTATGCATTATACAATTTTATTTGTGCGAGTCCGTTGAATAGGTAATAAACTATGGCAGGTGAAACGCTCTGAGTCCGAATGTGCGATGAATTTGAATCATACGCAAATAGCCGTATGAATAATATTTTATACACAAATCAAACCCACCAAGATGCGAGCCCACCGACCTAACAAATTATATTAAACTCTTTTTATCATTTTGTTGAAAGCAATATGAGTTTTAAGATCATGGATGTCAAATTAGGAAAATAGACCTTCAAAAATCGCCAATAAGTCAAATACCTACTAGCTTACGCAAATAAAACTTTTAACAGTTCAAAACTGTTTGGTCGTTAAAAACCAATTAACTAACACATCTCGCGTTTCGAACTGTTAAAAGTGTTTTATTTTTAGATGAGCCAATTAATATAACTTGATATTTCAATATATATAGTAACCAGTAAGCACATTGAAATATTTCCTTTAATAGAATTTCGGTTTCTGATATTATGATCCAAAGGGTAGATTTTAATTATGAAATACCTTTGTTGCTCACACTGCGTTTCCAGCATATTTCATTAAGCGGCAACATTATCATCAAAGGATGTTTGGCATTTTACTATCAGGAATGGCTTTACAATTAAACATTAAGAATCGATATCTGTTTTTTGGCATTGTTATTCGTTTGTGAGGCTCTGTTAAACTTATCATCGTATATTAGAGAAGTGTTACAATGAAATATAGTATTTTAAGGTACATGATTTCATGCCGTTAAATACTGATATAAGTAACAATGTATGTAGTAGCATCTTAAAAGACGACATTTCTTTATTTGTGTAATGTTTCTTTTCTCAAACAACCCCCGTATACAATAACGACCTTTTTATCAATTAAGAACTTGAATATTCCTTTTATTTTGCAAAGGTAAAATATACAAATAAATGTTTCAGCTTATGAATGTGAAGACAATTGTTAATTTAAATGTACTAAAAAAACACAAGAGTAAATATTATTCAAACGAAGTAAAACGTACATATTTTAAAATTCCACCTAATTTGCAACAAATAAATTGAGGCAAGGGAAAATAATTTCATTTTTATGTTCTTATCTAGCACAGGCAACACTGGTCAGCTGAGAGCAGAAAATTAACCATATTTTTTGCAAACAGATGAATTCGCTGAAGCGAGTTTGTATTGCGGGAAATGCTAACGAGATTTTTACAACGATGAACAAAAAGTACACTTAAATAGTCATAAATATATATTTTTAGAGGTTGATAAGCCTCGCAGTTAAGGCTTTCAACAGATCAATTAGTTTTTAATAATATTATTAGTTCAGTATCTGAGCATTTACTTCACAGACAAGTTTGGACAATTGGACAATAAAATATTAAATTATGTACTTTTGTCAACGTGACGAATAGCTTATAAAAATGTATGTATAACAATTATGTAATTATTAATCAAGTAATTAAGAGACATATTGGATATGCCGAATACTGATTGTCTCCATTGGTCTGGGATATCACGAAGAGCGGAAACTTGTCTTTTATCGTAACCTATAAAATGCTCTTTGCTTTCTCTCGGGCAATAAGTCAAAAGGGTACATAAGTCTGATTAAATTAAATACTGTTTATAGTTTACGCGAGTGGTACACATTTAAATAAATCACTTTAACGGTTTAAAACGCGATATATTAGTTAAACTTATTTGAAATTGATTTAACTTTGGCCTGACGTCTTCCCGTAACCATGGCTGCTACAAAGCATCCGAAACATATGGCCGAAGTTAAAAATCATTTTCAAATAAGTTTTACTAATGTATCGCGTTTTAAACCGTTAAAGTTTTTTTTTAAATCTGATCAAATTCACAAAGATCCTGTAAATAAAATCAATCAGTGAAACGGGCATACAAATTTGTTTGTCAGGAAGAAATGGGACTAAATTTTTTCATAATGTACTTATTACTAAAAAATACGCACCGTGACTTCTTTGAGCAAGTCTCTTGATCATTACTGCACGTGTGTTCTGGCGTTGAATGACACAATTACAAACATTGTTTTTTTGCGTACAAAATAGAGTGAGTTAAACTGAATAGTTTTAATACTTTGGCTAATATTATCATGAGTTTATAATTATCGGTATAATAGATATTGAACTAAGAACTTTATTCCACAAGCAAGTTTGTATAGTATAGTGTTATTAATTTACTGCATAAGTCCACATACAAAATAAGTTCTATTTATAATAAATATACTTTTTCCTACAGCGAGATCTTTTGAGAATATTTTCTTTTATACTCACATAGGTTTTCTTTCGCAGAAACAAAACGGCACAGTACCAAACTTTAAAACGGGGTTAAATATCAATCAATACCGCTGATTAGATAACGACTCATGATTCCTGGCCAGCAGTTGTCTTTGATAAGTGAATTGTGTGCTCTACTAGTCTATTCTTGTAATATGACGCGTCCGTTCATACACATAGTTGTGCTGAGTATTATACTGCATTCTTTTAGTTGTGTTTACTCTCTTCCCATAACGATAGATGAGTTAGTTGGTGTCTTTGCTAACCCCGTTAAGGATTTTATGCAATTGGTACATCCCTCGAAATCAGTGATAACGACAACACAGAGATCCGTGGTTACATTAAATTCAATGATAGATGTCCCTTTTAATGATCCAGAGCCATGTGAAAATGGAACCGTAAGAGATATTTACGGAGTTTGTAGACGACCGTGGTAATGTGTTAGATAAGTTATTCCACGAATCTGCGGCGCAGTTTGTTTAGCACGTTACATTAAAATGGACGTAAGGATTGTATTATTATTAGTTTGTGTGCTTCTAAATACCTCGCAAGTTTATTCAGGTGTTGTGTTCAATTTTCACGACAAGATACGTTCGGCCTCAACCACAACGCAGCGCAGTGTTGATGCGTCTCAAATAATCAGAGTCCCGAACCTGGATTGCCCAGATAATTATAGACGAGACAGCCTAGGGAATTGCAGACAGGCGTTATAGATCCAGTTACAGTTTAATAGCAATGTAAGTTGTAACCATTACACTGAAAAGTTTAGTAGATATTAACATAAAAGTTGTAAACTAATCATGAAAACATTTCAGGAAGAACTGCGTCCTCTACGTATTTTGCAAAAAAAAAAAATCGAAAATGCACCCCGCAATAGCGAAAGGAGATAGAATATGATGGTGACTTCGACAGTTTGAATAATGTTCTCGGAAAATAGTTATCACAGTTATTTGTAGTATAAGGTCAAAGGGGTACGCTTATATCTCTGTTTATCTCATAATGCGAGCGCAGTTGAGAACATAATTTGGTATAAGAGAGAAATATTCAAAATGAAGAGTGTGTTCGTACTATCCATTGTTATTTTGCTGTCTTCTACATGTGAAGGAGGACTCCTGAAAGATGTCGTCGTAACTATACATGAAAAAGCCCATAACATAAGGGAGGACATAAAGAATGTCCTCCACCACAAAGATGAAAATACTCCACAGAATAGCATTTCAAATAAAGATCACAAACCATCGACTACTGAGAAAGTTGAAACGGATAAGACAATAGCTGTTAATACCCCAAGCGCGATTACATTCCCAGATGATATCCCAACAAAGGAGGTTGCAGTAAAAACTGAACAATTGATTACATCTACTGTATCTTCAGTATCTTCTAGTACTATTGCATCAAACTCTACAACAAAAGAAAATCAAGATGGGCGTGACAACTTCAGGGCCGCCAACTGTGCTACGGGATTCAAAAAAACTGCTGACGGAAGATGTAAACCAACGTTTTAAAACCTTCCATGTGAATAATATACTTTTTGTGTATTGTAGTAACTTCTGAATATACATCTATATACAATTGTGAATCACGTTTAGGCGTTTTATTCCATTTTGTATATTACTAACTAATACTTAACACTCAGCGTTATACAAATAAACTGTATTGTGCTAAATAAATTAGTGCTATCTTTTTGTTAGAGACACACATTAATCTTTTTTTTAGTGTAAGAGGGGGGTCAAAGGTTAGACATATCTCAATTTTTTATGAAAAATATAGCCATTTGACAAGTTTAACCATAGTTATTAACATTCGCTTTAACATGAGACAAGTCGTCGTATTTTGTTTTCTTCTATTTACTTTTGAGTCTAATGGAGGTATTCTTAAAGACATTGTTAAAGAGGTACACGAAAAAACTACTCAAATAAGAGAAGATATAAGAAATGTTTTTCGTAATGGCGGCAAGAAAGATGAGATTATTGTCTCTTCCACGAATTCCACACAGACAAGCGTAAACAAAACTAATGATGAAATTGCCAAATATGAAATAGGCTTACACATGGATGAAATACTTGATATGGTATTTCCTTCCTCAGCAACTACAGAAATAACAAAAGAGATGGTGAAATCAACGGAGATTTATTTTGATACCACCAACAATGAAACAAAAGATGGACGTGATAGTTTTGAAGCTGCTAAGTGTGCAACAGATTTTAAGAAAACTCAGGATGGACGGTGTAAGAAACGTGAAAAATTTTCTTTCAATTAATAATTTTGAATCAATTGAAGCTTAAAAGAATAAACATTTGTTCAGCGTATGTTTTAATTGTGGGATAATGTTATTTTTTAATTTTTGTCAAAATATAAAATATATATAATGCAGTTTTAAATAAAGCTATTGGTATATATATTTAATCGTATATTTTAATTAATTTATGTGCACAGACTGTTACAAACCATAAATAATCTAACAGTCTCACTTAGAGTTATAATTTCAATGTTGTCTAAACCAAATTTCGTTCTTCTATTGGCTTAGTATCTTTGAGAGCTAATATATGTTTGTTGTTGGCTGTCATATATGCTAGACGTTTGATAACCATTTCTACCCACAACTTTCTGTCCACTTTGATATACTCGAGATTGAGTACTGTAGTTGGGATTGGGGGGAACAGCCTGGTTGTAATTGTTACCTGGATAAAACTGAGCATCACCGTTATTAACAGCTATACCACTCTGTTTTCTGCCATTATTGCTCCATAAAAGAACATCGTCTTGTCCATTTGAGTTTTTATTTACAATAATTCCACTTTGCCCATGCTTACTTGGACGGGACGCTCCTTGGTCATATCCTGGGTAATTGGATGGATAGTTAGCTCCTCCATCTGTGTATCCAGTATAATAATCAGCGTCACTACCACTGGTTATGGTGAGTACGTTGGTGTTTCCTCGTCCATTGCCAATTGAAGACGCTTCTCCTGGTCTCACTTTACCTGATACAAAACCAGGGTTTCTGATTGGCTAAAAGGCAAAATAGTAGTGTTATATATTTAAAAATGTGTACTGCTTAGAGGAGTAAAATTCTTCTAACGATTTTATTTTACGAAAAGTTTTTGCTAGTTGACAATGTCTTGGTAAACTCTATTTGAACATATAACATAAGTTAGTCACAGATAGGCGGATAGGCAGATAAGGCATCATTATTATTTTCAGTTTCAAGTTTTCTTTTACCTAGTCGCTAAATTGACCGTCTTTGTAGCTAAGAGGTTAATTACGTTAAGCGAGAGTGATTCTGGGTTCGAATCCCTGAGAAACAATATAATGTTTCGGTCGGGCAGGGCATAGAAGTCTGATCAATTACGTGCCAGTAATAAAACCGATTAGAGAAATGGACATGAAAATGTATTCGCTACGGAGTAAATGGCGTAACAATACCTTATGATAAAATAAGTTTATTTAGTTATAAAAGTACACCACAGGAATAGCACAATTCAGGTAAAGTTTTATAGAATAAGTAAAGGGATTGAAAGATAGGTACAAATGTCTTTTGTTTATGAAGAATAAAGTTTGTCAGTCTGTAAATAAATTCAAGGAAAACAAAACTAACCTGTCCATAAGCATCGTAGCCGTCTTGCCCAACCGGATTGTAGCCATTTCTGAAATCACATATTCACCTTTTAATTTAATTGCGATTTGAAACTAATATGATAAAATATACGAAACACAAAGGAGTGCCTTTTATGATAGAGGAGTACAGGCGGGCCGATTTTTCACGTTTAAAACCGTTAAACGTGTTTTATTTCAATGTGTAGTACTCATGTAAACAATTGTCAATACTTAGGTATATTTATATTGAGTCAGCAACTATTAATTATGCTCTCGTGAAATTGCTTTGAGTCCCGATTGTTTTTATCACAATTTTAGGTATTCAATTTATACCTTTAATACAGTAAATGAGCTGCAACCAAAAACTACAGATGTAGGACCAAAAGTATGTTTAATGAGAAAAGGTAAGAAAACTTGATATCCAGAAGCTTGTTAGGCTTCTGTATATTAAGTCTTCTGATAAATACATAAGGATAATGCATTGACGTCACGAAATGTTTATATTGTCGACCATCAGCGGTTTTCCTCATTCGCAACTCTTCACTTTTGCGAAGGCAATAATATAATACCATTAAAAAATCAATTTAAAAACCAAATTAACGTATAGATTATTTCTGAATCACGAGTTTGAACTATTTTTTTTTAAGATCTCTTGTTTTAACAGCTGTAGGAAGTATATTGTTTATAATTAAGAAAATTTGCAACCTTAGTCTTACCTTATACGTAGATAGGCCCCCGAGATTCCAAATACATTACTTACGTTAAATATAACACAAATATAAAGGGCAATACAATATTTCATAATGAATTAGAAACAAAACAGTAAGCAAATGCACCGAGCGATTACAAGTAATCGTAAGTTGTGGTCTGCGAGTTAAATATCTTGATGTATTTAACTATAGTTATGATGAGGTCATATTATTTGATTTAAGTAAGGGCCTATATCCACTATTATACCACACTCTATGTAAAACTTTAAACATAGACAATATTTAATGTACCTCTTTGTTTATTTGATGGTAAACAGATAACACAACCTATCGTATTATATATAAATATAGATTTCTAGTTTCAAAATGACTATATATACCTATATAGTTTGTTTATCTTTTTAATCTCAGAAACTGGTTTGAAATAAATAATTTTGTATTACACATTTTACATACATATAACTTTTTTAAAATAACTCCGAAAACAAAGTTCACTTAAAGGAGTAAAGGAGAGAGGATAAAGAGAACAGAACTATTTAAAAAGTAATTCCCTATAAGATTTTTATACATATACATATATAAAAAAAGATATGCTATTATGTATGGTCAATGGTATCAAATAGTTATATCTAATTTATTATTAAATTATTAAGAAAAAATAATCGATACTTACTGGTTTGGATTTTGAACAGGGACACCATATCCATTTTGAGCGGCAGCGTAGTCATCTGAAAAATGTTTACGTGTTAGAATCATAAGGTAAACAATTATACATATATTCTCATACAAAATTATGAAATCTGTTGATTTATTAGAAATCCTCTGCAACTATAGAGATGGTTTTAATCAACTATTTTATATAGTGATGATAAAGAATCTACGGCAGCTTAGACATGTTCTGAATGAAAGTATGTTCAACTATGTCATTGCAGTGGAAAGCTAAATATACTCGCCATAAGAATACGGCGAATATTGTCTGACGTTACGTTGTAACGCTTCGTTTTCGCCCAATGCCTCAAAATTACCTTGGTCAGCAGCCACTGGTTTTGAAGATTCTAAAATGAAGACAATAATTTAATTAAAATGATTCTAAAGGTCCCAACAAAACATAAGATTGCTTATTACAGTCCCCACGATATATGAGTAAACATTAAAAGTTAAATAGTTTTATAAACGTATATTTATAGCCTGAGACACTTTAAATGGTGGTTACTTTCATTGATTAAGTATATTTATTTATTTATTGTTTTAAGTTTAAACAAAAATAAACAAAGCAACATCTGTTTAAAACCTATTGAAAGTTTATTAACTAAATAGAGACAACATATAATAAAAAGGGTATATATGTGTGTAAGTTTACCTTTTTTCGTTTTCCCCACAACACCAGAGCTAAACATAATACATGTACATAGTAAAACAATAAAATTATACGCCGTCATATTTGTTTTATTATGTAAACGGCAACACAAACGATTTGAAAGACCTCCGACGATGAAGTAAGCTTATATTTTCCTTGTGGAGGGACGATGGGAAACCGGTTACAGTGTAAGACACGCGTGGTCTTCACACTTTTATACTAGTCTAGACGGTAACCGAATCTAAATACCTATATATTAATGAACAATCGATTGACGTACGTTTTGTTTACTTACTGGTTACAACAAAGCTGGAATGAGTTTTTGCAACTAGATTAAAAACTACATCTCCAAGTATGATAAAATGACACAGACAGGACTCGAACCTGTAAACAGCTAGTACAATGAATTCAATTAGAAATATTTTTTTTCGTAATTATATCCTTATTTCTCTAGAGTTATAGTAATTAAACATTTACTTCCCTAATTACTTTCAAACCATTACCTATTTACTAACATGCGGCCGTTTATTTTTTTTATGATAGAGGAGTACAGATAATTAAGGGGTCCATTTGACGGTAGGTTCACCTATTTTAACTTTAGACATGAAAAGATATTTACTCTCAAAGTAAACTGAGCAATATTGTTATTACCTTACTTCTACGTTAGGCATAAAATATACACATTTTTGCGCTTTTTTCAATGATACTATCACTTGAAGAATATTTTAACATAAATTCTGTAAGGTTTGAAAGCATTAATATTTTTCACATGTTATTGCACATTAAGGCACTATATAATTTAAAAGTCGAAAATAAATTAAAAAAAAATGATTTTTTTTCCTCGCAGAGTCGAAATTTTTTTCAATTTCATTTAAATTATAAATTTGAAGGCTTTCACGGCCACCGTTCAGCATATCATTGTCTTTCGGGCTGTTCGGCCGACGCCGAATTCTTCGAGCAATCGAGGGGTTAACATCTCCTGATGATGCCGTCCACACGTGATGGCGAAACGTCGACAACCTTTTTCTCTCTCACATCGACCAAACAGCCCGAAAGACAATGATATGCTAATATTTTAACATATTTACCCAGGACTGCACCAGGACTGCAAGGCACCAAAGCAGGCAGGCCATTAAATGGGGATAGAGTGCCTAAGACTTAATTTCTAGAATTTTTAAAGTAAGATCTAATTGAATCACTGCTAATTCATATAAAGTTATATATGTATTTGTAACGTACCAAGACTTGTGATGGTAAGTGAGAAAAATTTACAAAACTTGTTAGTCGAAGGATGTTAGGTCACAATAGTATGGAAAACGGCAACGGAAAACGAGAATGGCATTTGTAGCGACAAATTTTCTTCCGGTGGAGTGTGCTACGGAGAAATCTCTTTGTGGCATATTTATTTATTTTTACTACTAAAAGGTATTGTTATTGTGTTTCTATGTTTCTGTTAACTAACTTCCTATGCTGAAATGCTAAAGATGTTGTTCACGAAAAAGATGTCAAAGTTAGTCGATCATCCCTTGATCGAAAACATACAAAAAATGTGTTTTATGAAGGTATTTTTAAAATATGATTAAGCAGTTTTTTTTTATTTCATGTACCTGTTTGTTTTTCTTAACTTTACCATTTGTTAAATCTAATGTGTTTAGTACTAAAATATAATATTAGGATTTATTATTTACAATTAAGAATGATATTAAATACTGTTTGTAGTCAACGCGGGTAGTACACATTTAAATTGAACACTTTAACGGTTTAAAACGCAGCAGTCAAGCTCACGGTACATCGAGCCGTAGTTAAATACATTTTCAAATAATTTTAACAAATATATTTCGCGTTGCGTGGCCATTAACGTGTTTTATTTGAAAGAGAAAGACATTGATTATTTTTTATATAGCAACTGTGCAAGGGAGGTCCAATATATTTTTATTAGTAAATAATTCTCAGTCAGTGAGCAGTTCCTAAACTGGTATCTAATTTAGTGCCTTTGCGATCGGAGCAGCTCGCTTTGACTCCACGTTAAATTTGCAACAATCCGAAATCAGGCGGAAAACTATCGAAGTTTGGGCCAAATGAACAAGAAGTTTCTGACAGTATATAACTGCAACATCTTTAGCAACATCGGTCCAAGACGTCTAGCTTCTAATAAGGAAGCTTCGTTTTAATAAATAATCTATGTTTTAGAACAGCTATTTCGGAATTCTTTAAAATAAAGTTTTTATTTTCTCTCCCATAGTCTTTTATTAAGTTTGGTATAGAATAATGCGGTCTAAAGAATGTATTTTTTCTTAAATTCCCTCCTCATGATGACAAAAAAACTATTTAAAAAACAAAGTAAAATAAAAATACAATTAGGTAATAAACTAACTTATAGCCTACAATGCGAGTATGCAATTTTAAATATTTTGCGAGTTGATCGTGTCGTGGTTTAGATTTTATAGACTGACAGGTAACTTATATTATTATTATTTATAATTCTTAGGAGGTTAAAATCTATTTGTGTTCTTGGCAATTCTCAGAAAAAATACACTACTAACTCATACTAAAATTGGATATTTTTTTGATTGATATATTAAGCTATATTTACAATATAATATAAGGTCTCCCCGTGACCATGGCTGCTGTAAAGCATCCGAAACGTCGAGCCGTAGTTAAATAATCATTTTCAAATAATTTTAACTAAAATATCGCGTTTCGCGTTTAAACCGTTAAAGTGTTTTATTTAAATGTGTACACTCGTAAACTAGACGTATTTAATATAAGGTGTTTGTAATATTAAAAGTGGAATGTTGTACGTGTTTAAAGAAACTTTTTTCCGTAGTGTTATATTCTTACCGGAGTATCATAATCAATTGAATGACGACGATGTTTTAAAATAACATTTATTATCAGAGCAGTGACGACGAAAAAAGTGTTAAATTAAAAAAACAGATCGCAGACCATTCCGGGAATATGCATGTCTCGTTTGATACGGAAATGTGATGATTTTCTCTGGAAGCCCATGCGTTAGGAGGGTCGTTTGTTAAGCCCTCGAATTATGGGACGCCCGAGGGAGCCGTACTGAAAGCAACGCAACGAATTTTACTTTTTTTACTCAGAATTTTTCTTTCTATCAACCTTCCGAGTTTGGTTGAAAATTTCTATCCTCTAATAGCGTCTGCTAGTGTAGCTTTCTTTACTTTCCTTAATAATATATTATATATAAGAATTGAAAAAGATTTTTATTTTAATTTTATATTATTATTAAATTAAAGACATTCTATTATGCACGGAATCAAAAGCTGTAGATCGAAGCCAGAGAGGTCCTATGTAACACCCGAAGTGTTTTTGTATAACATTATATTAAGTAACTTTAATTAATGTATTTAATACTTTATTTATATAGTAAAATAAAAACGTGTTCAAAGTCTGTAACAGACGGACCAAAGACGTACATACATTTTATTTTACTTTTTACGACTAATAATCGACGGGTCGTGGATTCGAATACGACCAATAAATTAATTGGAAACTTGTAGGTAAGTTTCCAATTAATTTATTTTTATTTTTATAAAACTTGTTGCTTTTGGTCTGGAAATGGTGATAGAAATCGAAATTCGGTCCAGATTACGAATAATCACAATTTAATCTCGTATTAACTTCAGTCTGTGGATTTCTATCTACAGTCTCTCCATTAAGAAATAAAAACTTTAACCAACTATACTATAAAATGTATACCGACTACTACAGCCACAATATAAGGGGATTAGCAAAGAAGGCATCAAATGCAACACAGCATCGATAACACACTATAAACCGGTTGTAAACAATAGGATATAAAGTTAGGTTGCGGCGTGTCCCCGTGTCGGAGCGGACTAACACAAATAGCTCAATTAAACGGCACCGCTGTTCCCCGGAACATCCCCCGACAACGAATGGACGAGTCATATATTCAAGTGCACTACACTATACCATTTCATTTCTCTCCTCCTGTTTTGTTTACGAGATTATTAAGGGCTGCGTTAATTTTTAGTGTTTTAATTCGAGTCAAACAATATTTTATTAGTATTCGTATGTAACAATACATATATATATATACATATAATACAGTACAATACTATAATCAGTATAATAGTTTCAGTTATTGTCATGGTCATGGGGAAAGAAAGTAAAAAAAAAATTACTGATAGTGTCTGTAGTTTAAGCGAGTAGTAGTGTAAACGATTTAAATGCTTTGAAGCAGCCGTGGTTAAAATAAATTAAAAATAAGTTAAGATACTACGTTTGTTTTGAAGTATTTCAACTAAATTTGATCACCTTAAATATGATTCTTAAAAGTTACTTTTAAAATATAAGGATATAAAGTCGCGGACAATATGGTCGCAACCTGATGTTTTATAGCCTAAAGACCTAGCCTCGATAAATGCTCTAACCAATACAAAAATATGTTTTAATTCGAACTAGTTCCTTAGATGATTGCGTTTCACAAACAAATTCTTCAGCTTTTTAACTTCTACATTAGTATAGGCGTTTGTTTAAAAACACCTCCCTGTAATAATCGCATTTCGCATAGTTATACGTTGGTGGGCTTTGCTCATTTAAATCAGAAGGCAATATGCCCCATTCTATTCGCGGAACAAACAGCACAAGCCGTCTCGAAACTCCGGTCTACGGCCGCTTGCTTAATTGGCTAGAGTTTTCGCTTAATATTTACAAGTTTTGAGCAAAAGCAGTTGAAATGCATTCGAGAGCTCAGTAATACACTCGCTTTAGCTTTTCCACTTTTTCTTGGCCAATTTGAGTTCAGTTTGAACAGAATTTAACAAAGTCTCGGCTGCTCTTCGAGTTTTCACAAGATATTGTTCTGTTGGATTGTTAGGTTGAATTCGTTGCTAATTAAATTTCGAGCTTTTGTCATAACTTCGATTTCCGACTGCGCCGAGACGTTTATAATAGTTGAAAGTTACTTCACATTTATTTACTTAAGAAATATAGATTGAACTTATTAAAATATATATGGGGTTTTAGATTATATTCCAGAAGGCGCATTATCAT